ACCTACCAGACCTGTGTCGTCCAAGAGCGAAGCGTCACTCCGTGACGGAAGTCACATCAGATTTGCTAATCCTCAGGCCTCAGCTTTTGGTTCTACAAAGTACTAGTCCTCCTGTACACTCATGCTACATTTTCCTTCAAAACTCGCAACGCAGGGTCCGAATGGTATCCCTCGACGCTCTGACCTCAACGCGACCCAGCAAAAATCAGCGTCAAACCCTCTATTCCTGACGGTCGAAGAAGAGCTCCACGATGCGCGAAGGGTGCACGCAGATGGACAGGAAGATGACCTTCGATATGCTCTGAATATGGTTATAAACAGGGTCACTGAGCTGGTGAGTTGTGTTGTTTTCATGCGACGGAAGAGTCCTCTTATCTCCTTTCCTAGTCGTCCTTGCTCGGCGAAGCATACAAGACACAAGCAGATCTAGAAATTCAATTGAATGTCGCCAAATCCAACCTCAAGATGGTTATTGCGAACAACGAGATGCTGGAGGACGCTCTGAAACGCGATACCTCCGGGTCCTCGCGGGAGGTGGGCTGGCGACGGACGAGCGGCCGCGAGAGCGAATCCAGGGGGCCACGAGGATCCTTGGAACGTTCACAGTCGGTCGAATTCCCATCCACGCCCCATGACGTGTCGCCGTCGTCGTCCACCGCCCCACCCCAGCAGGACAACCGATTCTTCAAATTCCGGTTCAGCACGTCCGGCCTGCCTTCTAGCCGTCCCGGAACGCCTAGCGGGACTGGACCAGGCGTGCAGGCGCACCACTTGACGTCACCGTCTATGCCGTCGCTGTCGTCTGTTCGATCGAAGGAGCTTGAGGAGCTGACGGCAGAGTTGGAGAAGGAGAAGGCGGCGCGGAAGCAGATCGCAGAAGAGAAGGCGGCGTTGGAGGCTGAGCTTGAGTCGCTTTCGCAGGCGCTATTCGAGGAGGTATGGATTCTGGTTATATTCAGGCATTTCATTTTCTGAACATCTTTGTCAGGCAAACAATATGGTCGCGACGGAACGGAAGATGCGGGCCGAGTCAGAAGAGGAGCTGAGGGAGCTGAGGCAGGAGAAAGAAGCTCTGAAGAGTGCGCTTCGTGTTATAGAGGGCGAGAACACACACCTGCGCGGGAGTGCCCTCTCATCACCTCTACCCGAACATATCATTCCTAACGTGATCTCTGGAGCGGATTTCTCAAACTCGCGACCTACGTCCCGCTCCTCATCGCGGATAGGGATCAAGTCTCGGCCACAATCCCTCGATCTACCATCAACTCTCCCCCTTCCACCCTCGCCGGCTCCGTCACACCAAGGATACGACGATGATACCCCACTCAGCACATCCAATGCATCCACAGGCATAGAATCCGAGAAGACGCCCTCAAAGGTTCTCGCCGAAGATCTGCTCTCGCCCAACGTACTATCCCCAGAAGAGGAGTCTCAGCCTACGCCGCGCTTCCGTACCATTCTTCCTCCGCGCCCATCAGAGGTGGACGACCCGTTCATGGGCCCATCGCCGTGGGCTGACGTCCCGTCCAAGTCGGCCTCGCCCGAGCCATCGAACGCGTTGCGCGTAACGACGGCGTTCTCTGGCATTAGGTAGAGTCTTGCCAGTGTTTTTTCGAGCGTTGGGTGGTGTTTTGCTGATGTGGGATACTGTAGGATCATTTGAGTGACATATTATAGGTACGGCTCTATATAGAAGCGGGTTGTTTACGCCCTCATGCACCGTAGAGAGGCCTGCACCTAATAGGCCCTTATTCCATGTGGGGATGCAGCGGAGAGAGGATGCCCGGATGCTCTTTCTGTCATGTTTATTTATTTTCTTTCTCTGCTTTTATCTAGTCTCTCGGTGTCCTCTTCGCCTATGCAATCAAGTATACCCTCATACAAGCAATGTGTTACATATCTCCGATTTTCATAAGCAATGGCAATTTATTGCGCTGCATAGATTTTCCGAGTTGGGGGCGGTCATGTAGAGTAATTTGAGACGCAACGACCACAACAAAAACCAACTATACCATGCGAATCTGCCAATTATCTCGAACACTCTTCCTGGTCGGCCATCCTCCTACCTAAATTTGGCCCACTGAGTTCAAATTTGGGCGTATCCACAGACGTTGGCGCAAGGAAGATGGGATACAACGAATGAATGATAGGCAGCTTGACATCGTCACGGACGCCAGTTGGAGTTTCCAAGGGTTCGGTAGATAGGAATGTGAAAAGCAGAAGATAGAGAGAAGACCAAGAACAGCAAAATCTCTATTCTTGTGTCTTCGATCGGGTGATGGCAGTTGAACGAACACAACTCAGAGTAAAGAAGTCGACGGGAGAATCCAGTAAGCATGACTATATCATGATTGGTGTTTGCAACTTGAGAGTATATGCGCGGGGTAGGGAAGCGATTTGGCATATATGCAGGAGACATTCGGTCTGGGTAACCCAAAGTTCACCAGGCGCAATGGGAGGTGCGTAGCATCACCTTTTCTGCATTCTCCTGAAAATGACAGACCAATATCGGTGTCAGAACACTCGGACCTCAAGACTATGGAAACGCACCTCGGAAGTGACACCATCCCAAACACACCGCTGCCTACCCTCGAACGACAAGGATTGAAAGGCCGTCCGACCCTCTCATCTACCGAAGTCGTGTCAATTGCAGAAACGTGGTTATCCTCCTTGGCCAAAGCGGCAACTGCGGCATCGTCTTCTCCTTCGGAAGCTGCCTCTGATGTCCTCGCACTTCTCAACCCTTCGGATGCCTGGTGGCGCGATCTGCTCGCGTTAACCTGGGATATGCGCACCTTTTCAGGATCAGAAAAAATCAGGACGTTCCTGGAGGCGTGCTTACCAAAATCCAACATCCACGATGTGCGCTTAAGGGATGGGTGCACGTTCTACCAGACACCGTTCCCGGACGTCGTCTGGATTAGCCTGATCTTCGACTTCAAGGTCAGAGAGGGCAAGCAGGAGGGTGTGGGGATGGGCATCTCTCGCCTCGTACCCGTTCCTAAAGCTGAAGGTCAAGATAAAGAGTTAGAATGGAAAGCCCACACAGTATTCACGAACCTCGAGTCCTTCTGCGCGTTTCCAGAGCATATCGGCCCTCTGCGCAACTCCCAACCCAACCATGGCAAATGGGCCACCCAACGAGAGCGAGAAGCTCTCTTCGCTGACGCCGACGCAGATTTGAGTGCTCCTCCTAGGCCGTATCTCGATGGCAGTCCTCAGGTACTCGTTATTGGAGGAGGCCAGAGTGGATTGGACATCGCCGCGAGGTTGAAGGCGTTAGGAGTTATTGCGCTCATTGTAGAAAAAAATGCACGCATAGGTGATAACTGGAGGTCCAGATATGATGCCTTGTGCCTTCATGACCCCGTATGTGAGTGCTCGATTTTCATGATGGTGGTAAGAGACGAAGCTCACGACGACGACGCGTCCTAATTAGGGTACGATCACCCGCCATATCTCCCGTTCGTCTCTTTCTTTCCTACCGCCATCATGTCCCTCATTTATCGTTCAAAGATTCCCTTCAACGTGGCCTGTATACACACCAGCACTCAAGCTTGCGAATTGGCTCGAGTATTACGCTGAAGCACTCGAGCTGAACGTCTGGACTTCTTCGAACATCACCTCGCTCAGCCAGGATACAGAAACCTCGAAATGGACCGCCTTTATCAACAAGGATGGCGTTCAGAGAAGACTCTTGGTCAACCATGTCGTCTTTTGCACGGGCTCGGGCGTTGGCTCCGCGAACACTCCGGTGTATCCAGGACGGGTATGCTCACTGCTGCTCTCTCCGAATTGAGATTAGGCTGATGATCCTAGGACAAGTTCAAAGGCGAAATACTGCACTCGACTCAACACAAACGTGCCCTCGATCACACAGACCAGAAGGTAGTCGTTGTCGGGGCCTGTAACTCAGGTACGTCCACCACGCATATATTTTGAGCATCCAAGTCTGACCTTCCTTTTCCCCAGCCCATGACATTGCGGTCGACTACTGCGAACATGGTGTCGATGTAACGATGTTCCAGCGCGGCTCGACGTACGTTATGTCAACAAAAAATGGCTGGGACATCCTCTTCAAGGGCACGTCATTCTAACTCTTGGTAAATCTTGCCCAACTGAGGTCTACTTTAACACAGGTCTCTATTCGGAGGATGGACCACCAGTCGACCTAGCCGACCGTATCGTCGCCTCTTTTCCTCACCATATGGGCGTAGGCCTCAACCAACGTAGTGCCAGGCATATTGCTAATCTCGACAAGTCAGTTGGTCCACCTTTGCTAATGTACCTTAATTTAACGATGACATCTCTTTTCTAGAGACCTCCTCAAGTCTCTTCACAAAGTTGGTTTCCGTACGAACTTGGGTATCCATGATTCGGGATTTTCTCTGTTAGCTTGGACCAAAGGGGGCGGATATTACTTTGGTAAGACCAATGCCAACACCATGCTTCTGTTCCACCCCGTCTCTTCGTTGCGTCCTCATTTCCTCCGCTCTGGGACTCAAAACCAAGATCCTAGCTGATACCATTCGACAGACACCGGAGCCAGCAAGCTCATCGCCGAGGGTCAGATCAAGCTGAAGAGCGATAGCGTAATCAAGTCCTACACTTCTCGCGGATTGCTGTTCGAGAATGGCACCGAGCTGGAGGCGGATGTCATTGTCTGGGCTACTGGGTATATCTATTTTCCGTCCTGTATCATATACCTCATCGTCTCTTTTCTTCCTGCTGATCGTTATCTCTCCTCTTCAGCCTGGGCAACCCGGTTGATGCCATAGCCCATATCTGCAGCTCCTCTGTCTCCAGTGCTTGCAAGAGCGTTTGGGGCCTGAATAGCGAGGGCGAGATTAATGGCGCTTGGAGAGACCTCGGCGTCAAGGGTCTGTGGTTCATGATCGGGAATCTCGCATTATGCAGGTTTCACTCGAGTCATTTGGGGTTGCGTGAGTCCTTACGGTCATCCTTAATGTCAGCGTCGTTGACGTCGTCGGTATAGAAATCAAGGCGATCGAGGAGGGCGTCTTCGGTCAACGATATGCCCTGGAAAAATAGGCTGACGATATTTTTGACCGCTATGTTTTGTACAACCATTGCCTTTGGTGCAAAGTTGCGCTGACCCGTTTTTGTCGTTTCCCAGAAAAAGAAAACCTTGTTTCTCTTTACTTGGCATATGCTGCGGAAAGCGCAATGTTGGCTTGGCATACAGGGCTAGGATACATGTTGATCGAGAAAAGGAAAAACAAATCTTCGGGGACTCAGACTCCAGTTATAATCGCTGGGGGAGCGGTGGGTTCCGCTACCGCTGCTCCAGTGAAGCCAGGGAACTCCGAGCAATTGGGAACGATAGGAACATTGTTCGGCCCTGGACCCGAGTGACAGACGGTCCATGGGGGGTTCACCGCGACTGGAGGCTCGGTCGGCATAGGCGCGTTCGTTGTCGTCGAAGGTGCGTTACAGTTGGCGACCATGGTTGCGGGTGCTGGGCCGCGTTGAATAGGATTGCAGCCAGGCAGTGTTGGGAGGACTGTGGGTACGGAATCAGCGGTATGTCAAGGTAAATGTTGGGAAAATACCCACCTCGTCCTTCCACGACCTCAGGCACTTGGTTGGGAAGCCTGCAGTTGTTCATCGCGTCCGTATCCTGGACCGTAAGTGCAGGGCACTTCCAAGGGATTCCGTCGCCTCCGGTGCACTGTCGCATCGCGCGCTCGAGGGAGTCGCCTTCCCAGCCGAAGACGTAGTCGGCGTGCTGTCCATACCCAGTTCTATTTCGCCGGGTCCGTCAGTTACAATTCTGCGTATATAGCAGGAGGAAGTACTCACGGGTCGCCCATGCTGAAGACGAACGGCTGGCTGCCGTCCCTTGGCCAGAGGGACCTGTCATTGAAGGGCCGAGTGTCCCAGACGATCTCGATGAAGAGAAGGGGCACTCTGACGGGGTGGGTGGAGGGGCATCTCGTGCTGAAGATTCCACCGATAGGATGGGCGACGTGGCTCTGTTTTCGAGAGTCAGAATACCTCACAAACGACCTGATGAAAACGACGCACTGCATGGTCTGGCGAGTCGATATTTATCCCGTCCCAGCACCTCAAATACAGGTTAGTACCCATGATATCAGCAATGATGTTCCAAGTACTTACTGAGGGAAGTAGATGTTCGAGCGAATACCGTAGCTGCACGGGTTCCTTGGAAATTCGAACGTATCGGGAGCATCACCAGGCGTTCCGGCGCCAACATCGTTTGCGGTGAAGCATCTGAACGTAACAGCTTTAGCCGCGGTGTCTCCGGAAGGGATATCGTTCCGGCGCTTCATAGGATTTCCAACTATCATCCGGAATCCCTGAGCAAGACTGTCAGCTGCGAGTCAGGAGAACACGGGTAATACGATGCACCTTTGGGAAGGTTGTGAACGGAATACCCCCATTGGGTTGGAAGTAGTAGACTGTCATTCCACCAGATTGTAATCCAGGACCCGTGTTATGATTCGCCATTTGAGGAACCTGTCATGCGGCGTTTAGGTGCGAAGGGAGAGACATAGGATGGAAACTTACCCTTGAATAAGATCCATTCTGGTGTTGGAAGTACATCACGGCGGTCCAGTAGTTCGATTTGTCCTCTACGAATCGGCAGGTGGTGCAGGACGCGAGTTTTGGAAGGTCGTTATCTGGATGCATAGTGAGGTTGAACCTAGCCATTCACGTTTGGGTTGAGAGTGATCATTATGAATTTAGGGCGAGGTTCACTTACGCATTCTGCGTAGTTTACGATGAAAGCTCGTCTGAGTACTTCATCGACCCGATGAATTAGAGGAGAGCTCACCCCGCCGATGATTTGATGCACATGAGGCGAGACTTCACCCGGCGTTACGAGCCTAGTTGGCAAAAACAGAAAAAAAACATCTGATTAAACTCGATAAAAGAAGGAAGACGACGTACGGGTCGAAGCGCTCGGTGATGAGCTGCGAGCAACCAAAACGTATGAGGGCATGGGCGTATGGCGCACAGACGAGCGCAGTCCCCAGAAGATATGATACCAGCTTCATGGTGAGTCAAAATCTTGCTTGAGGCTCTCATTGAAGCGGCTGAACTTATAATGCCGCAAAGGGCCAGTGGGAAATCGTTTGTCTTCTAAACGTTGACCGGAGGAATAGGAAGGACCTTTTGCGTCCTATTTGCGTTGCTCGTAACTTAGTCCCAGTGGATACTTACTGTACCAATGTGAGATAAATGAACCAAAAGGCATATCTTCGCTTCTTGGGTTGGCGTTGTATGTGGAATGGCCAATGGCCGCGCGCTTTTGGCTGTCCAGTGGGAAAGCTTGAGCCCTTGGATGAACTACTGAGGAAGAACATTGGAATTTTAGGGTCTTCTATTGAATACCAGGGATTCTGAAATTGAGTTGAATGTTTGACCTGTACGGATTCTCTTCTTGACCGAGGGTCGGTCTCGTTAAGAACGTGATGGCAGCCTAAAATGCCGCTGTTCTAAAAATAGTAATTGCGCCGCATCGTTGATCCCTCAAGTAATTGGTTCATGCTGGGTTTAAAATGAGATTCCTTATCCTCGAGTGCGGGCGTTCAATTTCGGGCGTGTGTGCGCGAGTTTTCGGACCAATCTCGTAGCTGATGCACGTCCTTTCCTTCGGGCGGGCACGCGTATCTCGAAGGGAGTGGCAGTGAATGGAATGCGCTAGGAAGGCTGTTCTATTTTCTCCGAGCTCATTATGTAACCAATTGTACGACGGAAAATTCGTTTTTTGTATGATGGACTATAAAGACCCGTAGCACAATAGTGAGATAGAGGAAGTCCCTGTTCTATGTAAGCTGATCGACTTACATAATGAACTCAGTCTGCTATGGAGCACGCTATAGAGCACTATATAGTTCTCCACAGGCTCGTTACATCAGAGTAGATTTCCACCATGCCTATAAATTACTGTTAATGTTGGCTGAAATAACAATTCGGGCTTCTGTTGACTGTTATAATTGCTCCTCCTCTAGTCGGCATGGCGGCCGTCGAGGTAAAAATGAATTGTTGTCATTTCCTCTTTCCAATGTACACCAAGGCGTAAATATGGCGAGACAGCTTCAGAACTTGAGAGAGACACGTTCAACCCCAGACCGTGCACAACAAGGACCTTGGAGAGGAAGATAGCATGGTTCTCGTCAGAAGCCTACTCTATAGGAATGCACGGGTGAGGGGGCGGGAAATGAGCTGTCAAATTTGCACATCGAACGATTGATTGAAAATCGACGGGTAACCCTGGATTGCCTCTTTTACAAATGGCTGTTTGTCTGGAATGGAGAAGGAGAGGGCGGGGATGGCGGTGTATATGATATCATCCCCCAATATCGTGGAAGTAAGAAAGAGGATTGCGAGAAGGTGTGAAGGTGTGTCCTTTTCTTTCGCGGCCGCGCCAGCGCTAGTACAGGTTAACGATCCACGGAGATATAGCTTAGGGATAGGTTTTAAGATGACGTAGTGGCTTTTGACGGCGCTTTCAAAGGCCGGCACGATCCCCGGATCGCTTATAGGATCAGGTTGAAAATTATGCTCCCGTAGCGGAGCACGGAGTCGGAATCACTGGCTAGAAAGCCAGAAAGTGGGAAACTGGTAACCTCCCTTTTGGCGAGAGGTGGACATGCATAGTTGGAAGCCGGCACGAATACAAAGGGATTTGTCACAGAAATGACACATCGATGTCAGGCGGCACTTTCTCGGTTGACCCAACTTGGCATTTGCGGCGCACGACTGCAGCGTCATAGCGGGGCGCAGACGTAGACGTGGCCTAATTGGAACCCGCCGGGGCTTTCGTCTCTTGTAATTGATTCAATGACATTGTGAAAGTGAATAAGTATGGCCGGATTTTGGTGTCTTGGACAGGCGTTCTCAAAATTTCATGCTGACGGATTTAGAGGCGAAAGCCAGGCGCTCGATTAAGCACTGAAAGCACTACGCGTGCTGTCAAAAGGCAGCTCTGGTTTAACGATGACCCCCAGCTGGTTGCTGCCGCGAATGAAACTGGCAGCGGCTGAAAAGGTATTCATCCAGCGATGTTTCCTTGAAGTAGCATTGTAGCAGGCAGTAAAGAAGACTAAGATATAATTCAAGGGATACTAACAAAATGCACCTTAAAGTATGCGAACACCTTTGGTCTCACTTTGACCGAGTTGTCAACGACGCACGGATCGCCCAGACATAAGCTTCGTAGAACTAAAAGTGAAGTCAACGGCACACGGCACATCGCTTGTGATACGAGGAGCACGAACTTCCTTCGGCGAAAGATGGGACATCGTAGATAGTCGGACTACTGCCCAAATAGGGAAGGATGGCACGTTTTTCTTGAACCGCGAAGAAATGCTTGGTGACATTTTCCAGAGCTCAGAAGGCATCTTACGCAGATTCTTACTGTCATGAAGCCGCTGTGCAGAGGTGTCAGCGATAACCAGTCGCGAGTGCAGAGCCATAAAAGATAAAGCACGTAGCCCTGAATTTCCATCGCATTCGCAACTCAACATCTCACTTCGTATCTTCAGTTCTTTGCTTCCCTATCACCAGAATGGAGACTCACATTCCGAGCGATACCATCCCTGATACCCCGATGCCAACTCTCGCCCTGCAAGGGCTTTCCGCCGCTCCGACTGTCTCTCCCAACGAGGCCAGTGCCATAGCACAGGCATGGATCGACACCCTCGCTTCCGCTGCGTCGTCTGCTAGCGAACCGCCCTCCACGACCGCCTCCAACATCCTCTCCTTGTTCAACCCCAGAGATGCTTGGTGGCGCGATCTGCTCGCCCTCACCTGGGACTTCAGGACCTTCGGAGGAGCCAAGAGGATCGGCAACTTCCTTGAGGCGTGTCTGCCCAAGGCCGGGATACACAATGTCCGCATGAGGGACGGGTCTGCGAAGTACGAGACTCCCTTCCCCGACGTCGCCTGGATCAGCGCATTTTTCGACTTCAAGGTCCGCGAAGGAAAGGAGGAGGGTATCGGGTTTGGAGTCGTACGCCTTGTTCCGGTTCCAAAGACAGGCAGTCAGCAGGGCGAGGTGGACTGGAAGGCGCATTGCGTGTTGACGACCCTTGAGGGCCATGCCTCGTTCCCCGAGAAAATAGCGCCGATCCGCGACACCAACCCCAAACACGGGAACTGGGTAGCCAACCGAGAACGCGAGAGTGCCTTCGCTGACGCTGACGCCGATCCCAATGCCCCACCGAAACCGTACCCCAATGGCAGCCCACAAGTCTTGATCGTTGGTTCGGGGCAAAGTGGGTTGGGGGTAGCGGCGAGGTTGAAGGCTCTAGGCGTCTCATCCGTCGTTATTGAGAAGAATGGCCGTGTTGGAGATAACTGGAGGGTCAGGTACGAGGCCCTGTGCCTTCATGCTCCTGTTTGTGAGTGCTCGCCGTCGTTGATGGTGGTGAGAGGGAAACTGACGACCGTGACACGTCCTGATTAGGGTTCGATCACATGCCGTATCTTCCGTGAGCCTCTTGCTTTCGTACTTCCATCATCACATCTGGACGCTTTGCAGATTCCCCCCGACATGGCCGATGTATACACCATCTCTGAAGCTCGCGAACTGGCTCGAGTTCTACGCCGATGCCCTCGAGCTGAACGTCTGGACATCCTCCAACATCACGTCCCTTAAGCAGGACCCAGAGACTGCGAAGTGGACCGTGACTATCGATAAAAAAGGGATTCAACGTCGACTCGTAGTCAACCATATTGTCTTCGGCGCTGGCGCTGGCAGTGATAAACCGCAAATACCCGAGTATCCTAGGCTGGTGAGTTGTCAAGTACTTCGAACATGCAATCACTAACTGGATGTGTTTGAAAAAGAACGAATTCAAGGGTGAAATGTTCCATTCGACTCACTACAAGCGAGCAAGCGACCACACCGGGAAGAAGATCGTTGTCGTAGGCTCCTGCACGTCCGGTGAGCAGTTCGTGCGCACGTATGAAACCTGCTGATCCCGACATCTCGATAGCACATGACATTTGCGTCGACTATTACCAGCACGGCATCGAAGTGACAATGTTCCAGCGCGGATCTACGTGCGTTCAATCCTCTGAAAGAGTATGGCATGGTCTTTCGCAGGGTACGAGTTTCGTCTGTCCCTCCATTCCGTCTTCTTACCGAAATCCTCCATGTAGCATTTTACCCCGGGGACAACCCTTCTTCCGACATTGGCGATCGTGTCGCAGCTTCGTTCCCGCAATATATGGCTACTGGCTTCAACAGGCGTGTTACATCCCATATCGCTGAACTTGATAAGTAAGTCCATTCTCTGCTCTGCATTCGACTTTACCGCCCGGTATACGACGGTAGACTGATGATATACCTATCATAGGGATCTCCTCGAATCCCTCCATAAAGTTGGATTCCGTACGAATCTCGGTGTTGGTGACACTGGAGTTAGCCTGCTCGCTGCGAACAAACTCGGTGGGTTCTACTTAGGTAAGTCTCTACACATACGCACTGCATTCGAAATACTGACGACCATGTTCACGCTCCTGAAGACAACGGAGGTAGCAAGCTCGTCGCCGAAGGGAAGATCAAACTCAAGAGTGGCAGCAAGATTAAATCGTATACTCCTCGCGGATTACTCTTTGAGGATGGCACCGAGTTGGAAGCAGACGTCATCGTCTGGGCCACCGGGTCAGTTGTCCTTGCTTCGTTTGACTACCTTCGTCCTCAGTCTGATCCTCCTCATCTAGAATCGGCAGCGCACTCGATAACGTGAAACGCCTGTGTGAGCCCTCCGTCGTCACGCAGCTCAAACCGTTCTGGGGATCGAACAAGGAGGGTGAGCTTAATGGTGTCTGGAGAGATATGGGCCCCAAGGGCATGTGGTATATGACTGGAAGTCTCGCGCTCTGCAGGTTCCACTCGTTGCACGTCGCTTTGCGTGAGTAATCTTCACTTATTCCGGAATAATGGCTGGCTTTTCTAACATGGTGGGATCACAGAGATCAAGGCCATCGAAGAAGGGTTCTTTGGAGAGAGGTACTCCTCGGAGGAGTGAAAATTCTCTTGCATTCCTTCTCCTTTGTCTGCAAGATTTAGGACCGTCAACCTTATATAGAGTGTTCTGTCAAGATTTTCGCCTTGCAAATGTAGAGTTGTTTACCTCCCTGTCACGTAGTCCTCGTTGTCGCTATGAATAGCATCTGTGTTACTCAGAACACTTACCTGGAGAACTTGTGGAGAACGGCATGTCTCCCACTGGGAGACATGCCGTGAGCCCACCACCGCCTCGTCGGAATCTTTGAGGGATGGTCATCGTCGGTTCAGGGGTACTTATTATGCGGTTGGATGGTTGAAGGGAGGAAAAACTTTACTGGTACATCGAAAGAGACAGGGACACATCAGGATCGAGGTTTGTCGAGAACGGACTGAAAATAAGTTCATTCCGTTCAGTGTTGTGGACGGGCAGGTAACTCTGTCGATACTCTGACTGTTTTTGTTTCCACTCTAGGCTTTTCCCAAACAAAACATCGGCGATGTAACATGTCTAGATATTTGAACTAGATGTACGACGAATGGCAGTAGGTATGTGTATGGTCACAGTGAAGATAGGGAACCAGATGAGATGCGAGGTGAATTGATAGTACAATCGAGGAGAATGCGAGATCGACCCCTTACGGGCCTAGGAGTATGTGCAGTTCAAAGGACCGAGAAGAGAATAGCAGGCGTGGCGAGGAGAGAGGAACCAACGTATGGCAAGAAATATGTGGCTGATTCAGCCGAACCCAAAAACGTTCAAGATGAGTGTGTAGTACATCCTGAGGATAGAGACTTGAAAGAAGAGCGGAACGAGTGCATAGCCGGAAGCATGACCCCGAGTGAGGGACAATTGTTGGCGCAAAATGAAATCTGTCTCCATCGTTGTTATTGTCGTCGTCGTGGTCGAGGCAGGAAGGGCGGATGCCTGAGCAAGAGATGGAGATAAGATAACGGAAACAGGGGCCTGGGAATCCTTTTTCCGATCCTCATCCACCTCTTGTTGTTTCTCGACCACCATCTCGTAGGGCCCATCTAGTCATGATGCAGCAGTGTCGGCGGCGTCACCCCAGGAGTCGGAGCCCGACGACGACGCACTTGACGCGTTCTCGCTCTTCTCCGACTCCGACTCCGACTCTGACGGCGACGAGGACGAGGCGTCTTCATTGTCACTGCTTGAGCTCGATGCGTCATTCGTCTTGCTTTTGACCTTCGACGAAGACGTCGAACTGGGTTTGGAATCCGCTTTGGCTTTCTTCGCCTTCGCCTTGTTCGACTTGGATTTTGCGTCTTTCTTCTCGTCTTTCTTCTCCTTGCCCTCGTCGTCCTTGGTCTCTTCCTTGCTCTTTGTACCGCTCTTGTTTTTCCTCTTCTCTTTCTTTCGATTCGCCTTCTCCTTCTCCCTCAACTGCGCCCTCATCTTCTCCAGCTCCTCTTCCTTCTCCTTCTCTGCAAGCAAGGCCTTCACCCGTTCGAGCTCCTTCTCCTTCTTTTCTTTCTCCTTCTTCTCTTTCTCCTTCTCCTGGGCCTCTTTACGGCGTTTTTCACGCTATGGTAGACGGTAAGTGAACTGAATCTTCAGGTGATCGGATTATGACTGACCTGAGCCTTCTCGCGCACTTCGCGTGCCTCCTTCTCTTTCTGCAGTCGCTCGCGCATTTCCCTCTCGCCACGGACCCATGCTTCGACGCCATTTGCCGCTGCTTCTGGCTGAGCCTTGTGCCTCAGAAGATCTGAAATAACCAGTAGCCATGATAAGCTTATCATTCGAAAAAAGCGCATATATCATGGAAAAAACGCATATACGATCCAAACGGCGCATATATGAAGCTTTCTCGACCTGCACAGCAACGCGAACGCCTACCGACAGCCAACTGTCAAAGCAAAGCGCATATATGGGAGAAAAGATCGAAAGTACGTACATCCTTGCAGCCCGGCAATGCTAAACTCATCCTCCGGCACCCCATCAGCGAACTTTTTCGCCAGCATGGCGAGGGTCTTCTTGTCCAAAGGAGCCGGCCGAGGCGGCGTCTTCTGTATCGTGTTCTTTGCTTTGTCCTTAACGCTCGGCGCGTCCTGAGCAGGCTCATTCGGGATAGGCGACCCAGAAAACGTCCGTGGCAGAGGTGGAGCAGTCGAACCAACAGGGGAGGCAAGGGTGGAAGAGGTTGTAGATGAAACGGCGGAGGAGAGGATGGATGATGCTGATGATGCAACGTTTGACGCTGAAGACATGAAGTTCGTGGATAGCGACCACAGAGACGGCGGCGGCTCCAACCGGGGCCCGTCATGTTCCTCCTTTGCACGGCGCATCTCCTCGTATGCTCTTGGTGTCCTTCTTCCACTGGTCGGCCTTCCCGGCGCGACCTCTCCACCGTCCTCGATCTTCAAATCGATGCCCTCCAAGCCCTTCACATCCTCCTCCTCGCTATCCTCGCCGTCCTCCCACGGGAAGAAGTTCCTGAATAGAGCTTCGGCCTGCCATCGACTCGCGTTCTTGAACTCGACCCACACGTCCATACGTCCTGGACGGCTCAGAGCAGGATCTAACCGTTCCAGATGGTTGGTAGTTGCGAACAACAACCTGCCTTCAGAAGCAGCCACACCATCCAGAGCATTCAAGAGACCACTCAACGAGAGTGTATTGGTGGGTGAAAGAGAAGAACGATGGTGCGAGTGTCTGCGCCTTGACGAAGACGAGCCTGAGCCCGAGGCACCAGGGAAGGCCGATGTGAAGCTTGAAAACGCATCGGTGGTGCCCACACCGCCATTGTTCCCAAACGCCCCTCCATTACCCCCATTGTCACCATCGCCGTCATCATCGTCATCTCGATTTGTGCTTCTTACGAAGGCCGCATCCAGGTCCTCCAGCAGAAGCACGCATCGGGCGGGAACGCGGCCCATCAGAGTCGTCAGAGTCGTGTCGGACACCCAGGAGGCGGAGAGGGAGACCACGTAGATGTCGAGGTGCAGGGCACCAGCCAGGGCATGGATAAGCGAAGATTTGCCCGAGCCAGGGACTCCATGTAGGAGATATCCTCGCCGGAAGGGAATGCCGCGGTCTGCGTACCACTTAGAAGAGGGTCAGCGACAGGCGACAGTAGGAAGACACGAAGGAGATGGAGGAAAGGAGCGACGAAGAAGCACCAAAAATAGAAGGCGCTAGGCCGGGAAAGATGGAGTAGGCCAAGAGATTCTCAACACCACCACAACGAAACACACGCAAAAAGAGCTAGACGAGAGAAATCCCAGAACTCACCGTCTCACTCGCCAAGAAGTCTCTCGCGTCTTCCAAAAGCATCTCTTTCACTCCGGGGTTCAAAACGATGCTGGACATTGGCCTCTTGTGCCGTGAGTCAGACCAGCGCCAGGAGCCGTGTACGTCGGCGAAATACAGCTGCAATTCTGATAAATCGACGACACAAGACAAGAAATTATACGATTTACTCACTTGAATGCGATGGACAGCCTCAGCTTCGTACTCCTTCTTGGCCTGGAGAACAAGGTGCTTGAGGATGGCGTTGGAGCGGGCGACAACACTGTGGAGAAGACGTCAGTCAAGGGAGTACGGGCGATAGGGAGGAAATTCAAGGTAGCGGGGAAAAGGCAAGGGAGATCTAAAATAGAGCGGGTCTCCCGAACGAACGAGGCTACGAGACCAAAGAGGACGCGAAGAAGCTCGAAACCCACCTAATCGAGAGCATCTCACACCCACTCTCGTGCTTCCTGCCCCTCCTCACTCTCAACCAATGACCCCGATAGAAAATCGTGTGAGTCGTGTCGTACGTCGGCTGGAACACGATCCGCGTTCTCGTTCTCTGCGGGTCTCCTCCATTGTCCGCATCATCGTCCTCACCCCAGTAGCCGCCCTCGCTCCCTGCTCCGCCTCTGTTATACACTTCGGCCTCCCACGCATCCCAATCAGCGTCTTCCTCCGAGTAATTGGTGTGGGAGGAAGATCCGCCGGGACCAGCACGGGTGGTCGTCTCGAACTCGCGTGCGCGCTGCCATTCAGGCCGGCGCGAGAGCCAGAGCATGAGCCAGTCGTAGGGAAGGTCTTCTTCACTGAAGTGGGCCGTAAGGAAGAATGCTAGGCGGCAAAATAGTCAGTACCGATCTTCCGTAATGCTCGGAGGTGACCTCGAGGTCCGATAGCGGAGCGGTCCAAGAAATCCCAATGGAAGGGAAGGGTGAGAGAGGTGAAGACGAAGATGAACTCACAATTTACGAAGTGCGACCACGCCGAGCTCGACACTCTGCGAGCCGTCTCGACCGTACCACCGAGCACGACGAGCTTCATCCCGTCCACGACGGATGAGCCCGCAGAACCGCCGATGAGCGGCTGCACAAGGGATTTGAGAGCGTCCATTTGCTTCTAGGTAGGTGTATGTTCTTCAGTTGCGGGGTAGGTTGTGAGGGGAGGTGCCGAGTTATGTGCTGACAAGAGTCGTGCGGGGGTGATGGTTGGTGGTTGGGAGATAGCGATGGTTCTGTGCGAGAAGGCAGGAGGGAAGAAGCGCCCTTGACTGTGTGTGGGAAGGAACCCAAGTACGAGAGTATTTGTGGGCAATTTGTGAGTCAGGCAGACGCCGCGATAAGACTGGGCGACTAGCAGGTGCTGTGCACTGGGCGAGGCGCTGCGAAAGAAGGGGATTCAAGCTCTTGCTGTGAGATAGAGGTGATGGTGGTTGGGTTGCTGCGTGTGTTAAATGAGTATGGTGTGTCAAGGAGAGTGGGGATGACTGGGTGTGTGTCACTCACTCGTTCCAGTCAGACCTTTCGGAACCGGTGCCGTCAGGAGGTTGCGGGTAGCTGTGTCGAGTCTCGTAGGTCCAGTGAGGATTGAAGAAGAGATGGGTGAGCAAGAGAGACGGGCGCTTGCAAGTGGCAACTGGGAGGTCGACGCGTCAGCACTGTGCTGGTTGGAGAAGGAAAACCGCCAGCTGGGAAGGGTTAAGCTCTGGCGATCCAAGTCCTCGGGTTCTCACCGTGAGCAATTATGGACGCACGAGGCGGTTATCCCCGCACTGTCCTCGCCTCGAGGCCAGGGTCGTGAGGGGAGGTAATTGTGGCTCGGGCCGCGCGCCCGACAACCACTTGCCGGCTGCCGAGAGCGATGAGCGCTGTAGGAGCAGTTAAAGCTCCGAATAAGCGCTTTCCTATCTCTGGATTAGCGCTCATTTTTGGGGAGAGGTTAGGTGAGTATACCAGTGGCAGATGAAGGAGGACGGTGGGCGAGAGGGATGCCCGAGGTCTGGGCCCGAGAGATTTGGACGCATGGGGTACGCCACTCCCGCCACTCGGGAGTTGCACGGGAATTTGGGGGTTCAAATGACTTTCTTTGTGGATTTGAATAGGTATGTGTGTCGCGGACAACTGGACCGTTAGTTCACGCGTTCATTCATGATCCATTCATGATTCATTTGATAAGAAGGAATTGCTATCCATGATTCTAAGTCGTATTCTATCTTCCCTTCGAGGGGAGTAGTCTCGAACTCGACCACTCGTCATTCCATATTTACTATTTAATAAAGCCCTAAGGAGGTACAAGGAACACTCGCAAGCGCCTTCCGTGGTCCCTGGTCGTTACTGGCGCTATGGATCGCTCCTCTCTACGTACGATCCGACCGAAGTCCGACTCGAATGGAAGGATGGCAGGCCCCAGAAGATACTGGAGGCCTATAAATGCGCCTCAGCATCCCACGCGCCGGGTCAGCTGAGCGCTGCTCTCCTCTCTTGGAGGTATTAACAGAAGTCCAGAAGAGAGCTTCTGGCGTCCAGGGTGGGGGATGTGCGCTTGTGAAATAGTAGGCCGCGGCCGTTGTGCGGTTGGAAGAGCACGGAGGGGCGCTCTCCGTTCTCTGAAATTTAAATATAGGCCGTTTGGAGTGTCAGGAAGGGATTGGTAGACGCCGGTGGTTCATGTGACGACCTTTCTGCCGTGCATTTGCTTCTTCACTCTAACACACATGAGTATCGGCGTTTCGGACTTCGGGTGGGGTGTTCAACGATCGTGTGCCGTCCAAGACGGAGATACTGAGATGCTTGGGATATGTGGCGAGTTTCCTGACAAGGTCGCCACTTGACAGTAAAAGAATTGAACCGTCCTACCTCTCCCCCACTATGACACCGGAAATCACCGAATCCCCGCATAAGGCATGAGCACAGCCACCAATGACCACTTCGTTGAAGTCCCCATTCAGCGTCATAGGGTCATTTTCGTGCGCTCGAGCACGAAAATGCAACAGGGGGTAGATGTCGAAAATAAGTGGTATGTTAACTATATAGTATAGGCGATTTTACATATGTTTTAAGATCTCGATTATGTAATACTTAAGTAAACTGTTTTACGATGACAGCCTATTTTTCTTGCACTGAGTGCGGGAGTCAACAATAACCTCGAGGCAGAAAAATGCACAATAACAGATGATGAGGTGATCCAACATCGGAGGGTTTGACGTGGCATCGGGAGTTGGGATGGTCGTGCAAGTGGCTGAGTGGCTCCCGGCGGATTCACCGAATTTTGTTTGGAAGATTTTAAAATAGAGGGGCTAGGAGGGGCTGCATAAGGAAAGGGTTTTTAGATTTTAGAGACACTAAATAATATAAGTAAGTCTTATTGGGAAGCACAAAAAATTCACTCAATAGAAAATATCACACCAGCCGGACTCGAACACAAGCACATCATACTAGCACTGCCACAACACGCTAGACATGCTAACCGCTACACCATCATTTCAATATTAAAAGACAAAATGTATAGGCTATGTAGGGTACCGAAGGGCTCCGATGCTCCGAAGCCGAACAAGTCACGTGAATAATTTCTATATATGGGAGTGTCATAGTGGGGGAGAGGTGTGAGAGCTAAAGAATTGAGAGGTGGATTCTCATTAGACGCTTATGTCCGAGCCTTAGCAAAAAGCGTATTGCAGTAGCCTGATACACAAGGTGAAATGGGCGGCCGAAACCCTGACATATAATTATCACCACAAGGCCCGCGCCCATGCATGGCGAGCGCTAATTCGCAAGTTGGATGAAAAAACAGAAACGCTTCCGGCACCCCGACACAGAAATCAGAAGACGGGGCACGCGTGGTACATAGCTCTGATTATTGTAGGTTTTTTGAAACTGCGTCTAAGGACGGATAAACGAATAAGAACTCGTCGCGGGTCTATGATGGGGATTGCTGTCAATTTGCAGGCCTGGCGAGGCTTTGCTCTTTTAGCGACTTTTAGGCTCACCATATTGGACTGTAAAATATTTCCCTTCACCCTTGCGCATGGTAAAGGATGAAGTTTTGGTGTTGTCTCTCTCCTTATCCTGACTGATGGTGAAGTCCACTTCTCTGATTAGATTAGATGCAAGACTGATGGCGTAGCGATCGGTACTGGTTGAGTCTCTGCCACGACATCATGCCCCTCATTCTCGTGGACGACGTTTCTCGACTTGAACTACCACCAACGCCTGAACGCTCGCCAATCGCTTGCCTTCTTACCCACAATGATCCTCCTGGGAGCCATGAGAGAGGTATTGCCCGCCAGGTTATCGCATCGTCTCTTAGCACTCTCCAGCAGGTCGAAGCCGTCATGGTGCAAGTGAATCGTATCCTTGAAAAACTAGAAACTCGCCAGTAGGAATATCAGGAACAAATACGATTGCATCAGAACGTTCTCTCCATTTCTCGCCATCTCCCCAACGACGTACTCTCCGAGATTTTCCTGCACATAACTGCCAACTACAAGGATTCGAAGACGTGGTGCGAAGAGATATGGGCGATCACGCAGGTATCGAGAAGGTGGCGCCTAGCAGCGCTCCTGATGCCGAGGCTGTGGACTGTCTTCCCCACGTTTGACGCGGAGCTTCGCAAAGGAGGTCGAAACCTATACCCCCTTCATACGTCCCTCGAACGATCAGGTTCCGTTCCCTTCAACCTCACGGTTGAGCATTTTGACTGCAATTTTCCTAGTGAAAAGCCATTTCTCGAATGCATTCTTCCACACCTCCATCGCGTTGAGCACCTCAATCTCCGAGACCCTCGGTCGACATTCGACTTGTCCAACATCGAGAAGACATCGACGTTGAAATCAATCTCCTTGACGGGCAGCTTGGACGTGTCCAATCCAAGAAAGAGGCCTCTTGTTCAGCTTCAGGATGCTCCACTACTGCGGGAATTGACCATATTTACTAAGGGATGCAGTGCGCAATCGAGGAGTTTGCAGGTCATTGCTGTTCCGTGGCCACGCTTGCGCAGGGTCTCCATCTGCGAGCTCGATCTGAACTGTGCCGCATCCCTTCTTCAATCAGCAACCAGCCTTGAGGAATGTGTTCTATACCCTCCAAGCTTACGCTTGTCGCCACCGCTGCCAACTCCACCCCTCTCCAGCAACTCCGTAACGATGCTATCTGTTGATGCATGCTTCAGTGGCGCCCTGGACACATTCTTCGCTCATGCTACTTTCCCTTCACTCAGGAAGCTATCGACAAGTTTCGGGAGTGCGAGCATTAAGGGAATCACCGAATTCATCCTTCGCTCTTCTTACCACTTGGAGTTCTTGACACTGCCTTTTGAAGATCACCCAGTGAGAGAAGACGTCGTACGCCTCCTGTCCCTGGTTCCTGATGTCACCGACTTGGGCATCATCAATGACTCCTTCAGAATTGACTCCGTCCTGAACATAGGGCCACCTCACCAACCCCTTTTACCCAAATTGCGTCGCCTCTTCGTCTCGATGATGGATCTCTCGCATTTTATCACTGATGTAGACCCTGCGACGCTTCGAGGTAGAGACTCTCCTGGAGTGCAATCAGGCACGGTTGCAGCTCTCGAGACTATAATACTCCAGCAATCTACGAGACGGCATCGACGAGATGAACTGTTCCGCCGCCTCGATGACAGCCCGAAGACAAGCGATGAGGACCGTGAACGAGTGTCGAGATGGATTACTCAGCTGCGCCAACTATGTCTCCCTCGAGAAGCCGTCTCCTCAAGTCTGGAAGTGAGTAGATTTTGATTCTTCACTATATTGATCATGCCGCTAATCTGAAAGAAACAGAGTCAGATCGACGGCGAATTAAACAGAATATTGTCGGAAATTGGGGCTTACGGGAAAATACCACCACAGGTCCTCCATGTAAGTGTTTTGATCCCTGTCATCCCTGCTTTCCATTCATTTCAGATACGTAGGAATACAGTGCCATTGAAAGCCTCCGTAATTTATTGAAGCAGATGGGCGATGAGCTCGGGCCCAGGCCCTCCGACCGAAGTGATCCTCGCAGGCGATTGAGCGTGATCATTGAAGAGTGGTCCGCGTCGACCTTCGCATATTTACACTCGGTTGGATGGATGAAAGGGGGAGAAAGGGTATTAATTTACTCTAAACGACAAGGATCACTTTGCGCAGAGGTCAAGGAACGGACGGGAAATCCATTCTCTTCTTCCACGTTTGGCGACGCGAACGGTTATTTTATCCTGTAGACCCCATTATCGAGGTCCCTTCTGATAGCACAATTACTAACGATATCATGATATCTCGTTGATACTTCCACGTCTTTCTTGCCCGACGTCCAATGTTGCCACCTGAGCTGGAAGGCCTCCGAGCGAGCCACGCCCTCATTTGCGGGTGGCAGCTTGACGAACTCATTCATACGCCGATCCTGAATGCACGCTCTTCAGTCTCGAATTTCACGATTCCAATTTATGCCCGGATTGACGTAGATCTTGAAACCATTACCTATTTACCGTCGCTTTTCGTCCCATTGCTTTCTGAGTGATTCGCGATGTCTTCGCCATAGTCAATTCGAACAAGATTTATATAAAGTTTCAGGTGGAACGTACATGGAAAATAAGGGCTAAAACCAGAATCAAGGCCTATCTAACAAGCTGAAGATTTAGACTGTGACATATCCGTTCTGTAGCGCAAAAGAAGCAAATTGGTCCTCATTTCGAGGCCACGTTCCAACATGTAAGAACCCCTGGCGGTGTCCATGCACCAGAACACTATTCCCACTGGGAGGTCGCATCCACCCGACGTCATTCAAGTAAATCGAAATAGATGCCGACCATTTGAGGAGAATCGCTGAAATGCGCTCGCGATGTTGGAGAAGATCATCGGGAAGTTGCGTTGATATGGTCTCGAGGCTGGAGATGACTGCCTCTCCTTCCTATGGGTTCGGTTAGCTGTAGCAAGGATTTCATCCTATGTCTCTCACCTTTTCGCACAGATATCCCGCAGGAATATTGGCATGAGGTTCAATCGCAGACAGCATGCGGTCTAGCTATAAAAGAATAAGATCATCACTATGAAAAGGGCTTCGTACAAATGTCATCTGAGAACTTACATCATTGTCGAGGCAACTCGCATCCACAATCGAAAGAGAATCAACGAGATGCTGAAGCTGACTGCACCACTGCCGAAGAAATTCTGAATGAAGGCCTCGATGCAGATGTGGAACCGTCAGTGGTGGGTCGTCTTGTGTTGTTCGGGAAAAGTGCAATGTAAATGTTTCCAGGCAGGCAAGTCTTTCGTCACGCAAAGCCGAAGCCGCTTCACGAATGGCGATCTTACAGAATGTCCCTTCGAGACAAAGGTGGCGCACCCGAGGGGCAAGCGAGGGCACTAATTTGAGCGTAGTCTGAATAAATTCGATGGATAAAGGAAGGCAGAGGTCGGACAAGTCGGGTACAAGTGAGAGAAGGCGATGAACGCCCGCGGCAGGATGCACGATCGAGGAATAATACCTAGGGAGGTTGAGGAAATTAAGGCTGCAAGACGACCGCTCGACCAGGTCGGAGATGACTGCGAGGTCCAAATTGTATGAATCCATGGAAAGCTGGCGAAGCGACGGGAGGGTCATGGCGTGGATAAAAGATTCAGCCATTAATTTGTCAATTGTCGAAATGTGGAGCCTAGACAAGAGCGGGTGGCGGAATCTCGAAAAACTAAAGACACTGACTAGGGAACGCCGCGGTGCCAACTTGATACTGCTTTCTTCGAGTCTTGTGGCCGCCTGCAAGATAGACAGGGCACAATCGAGGGTGATTCGGAATGCGGAGAACTTGCGGAGTTGACCCCAGGGTAGACGGAGTTCATTCATGAAAGACAGGGCAGTTCCCTCCACACTAGTGACTTGAACGTCCTGAAGGAGAGGCGAATGCTGGAATGCAGTTGTTGGGGGGGTTTGCAGAGAGCATGCGTTCAAATGGTAGATATTAAGAGAGCTCAGCGACTCCCATTTCAGCTGCCCGGTAGTCGACGGAAAAAAGAACGTCGACTGTAATTGCTGGGGATAAAGAACAGTGAGATGGGAAATGCGTCTTGCGTGAGGAGATACAAGGACTTGGAGCGGGCAGATTGGGTAAGATAGCGCGTCGAAGGAGATGGTGAGTTGAAAGGGAAGCGACTGCGAATATTTCAGCGACCTTGATAGACGCGACACGATGGTGGTCTCCGTTGCTCGTTTGAACGGAAAGGTAGACCAAAGCGTAGGTGTGGCAAGCGCGACCTCACGCCAGAGCCGACAAACTTCGACCACTGTCCAGATGTCGTCCGGATGACCACATATAATGGCGCGGAAGATCTCCAACAAGATGTCGGGTGGAAGACGACGAACAGCGAGGTTCCTGTGCAGTCGTGCGTGGTCTTCATATTCTGCACGACGAGATTTCAGGTTCGCCAACATTCCATTGAGTTGTTTAACTTTCGCATCGAGCTGGTCGATTTGCTCATCTAGGTGCGAGACGCGTGTGGCCGAAGCTGCGACGACCTGCTGGGCGATCGCCTCTTCGTGTGGCTCCAGAGGGAGATTGGTGGCGAGTAAGGTCCCGGCGATGGGCGAGACATCTGGCGGCGGTACTATGCTCAGTAGACTGATGTTGCAATTTTGGCACGTTTGCATCGTAGCTGAGCGATTGGAGTGCCTCGACTGAGGCGGTTGTGGTTTAAGTTCCAATTTCAACGTCAACATCGAACGCTATTTAAGTGGCATTCGGCGAGACGGGCCGGAGTTCGTGGCCCCCTCAGTGGCGCCAAGGATCCCATATCAGTAATTTTCGTGCGCTTGTCGTGACTCTACGCACCTTTAGTAACGTGTACAATATAGGCTTTGCTATCCAGTATGCCCTGAGATCACCCGACGAACGCATTTTTTTAGCACCGAGAGAGGGGGGGGGTTGTATTGGTGAGGACTAACTGTGAACCAGAAGCCCTGGCATAGGACTCGAAGAATGAAGACGATGACGAAGAGAGTATTCCATATAAAGTTAATTGCGAGAACGAGGGCGATAGGATGACAAAGTAAACTGTCATTCGCAGAGAGACAATCCTAATAGAAAACAAACACCAATTTACACTGTATTATTGCGTTGAAAGCGGAGATGCACCACTTACGAAGGTTCTACTCCATAAAGTACCTCTCTCCGCAATTTCCTTCCTCATTGGCCTTGATTCCTATGATCTGATCAAGTCAGAAGATCATCCACTCGAACCGATGAAAGTCGCAGGCAACTCACGCAAAGCGACATGCAACAAATGGAACCTGTAGAGCGAGAGGTTGCCAAGCGTGTACCACATTCCCTTAGAGCCCAGACCACTATCGTTGACATCGGGCACTCACAGACAGGATCATGGAGGCAAAGAGCCGCAAAACTCGACCTCCCATTGCCTACGTGCCCATTTCTCTCTACGATGAGAGACGAAGCACCTAGAGTTTCAACCCGGCTGCTACCTCCAATCCATGTCCCCGGCCCCAGCGCTGTGGACTCCTGTTGGGGTTCGGCTTGCGAGGGGCGTCGGCATAGACGTGAGCATCGGCGAAGAGAGCCTCGTGCCCGCGTTGAGCCTTCCATTCGCCATGGTTGTGCTACCTGTTACGAATGGTCCAGTGTTCTCGGGAAATGCGGAATGCGCCTTGAGATTCGTGAAGACGCTGTATGCCTTCCAGTACACTCCTCGCCTTGCTGACCACCGGCCTTAGGGATGTGGAGATGGTGGACGGTAATAGACCACTCTCTTCCCCTCGCGGAAGTTGAAGTCGAAAAATGCGCTGAGCCACGCAATGTCGGGGAAGGGAGCCTTGTCACCACTGTTCGAGATATCGAAGAAAATCTTCAGCAAGATATTCCATGGGAGGCGGCGGACATTTCCAACCAAGTTTCTGCGCAGTTGTGAGTGAAGCTCTGCCCGACAAGACTTCATACTTGTCAACATCTCGTTGAATGGCCCAGTTGACGCATTTGTGATGAGTTGATCGCACTCCTACATGGGCACTGTCGAAGCTTCGATAACCTAGCGTGCGATGACTGCTTCAATGAGGCTTCGTGCGGCGAGGAGGATCATTGGCGGTGAGGAGGATCACTATGGGCGATATTATTGGGGGCGGTGGGATATGTAGAGAGTCTATGGTCGCATTTGGGTACGTTTGCATCGTGAGCTGCTCAATTGAAGCCTTCTCGGAGATCATGAAATCATAAATGGTCGGAGAGCAAGTCGGAATTCCAACAAATTTTTATGGGACGCTTTTCCCACCCCTATTCTATGTCCATCTTATCTTATCTCTCGTTCAGGCGTGTTAAGTCAAGCCAAAATCGGGCTAAACTTTACTCTCCTCCTATCACTTCATCAGCAAATTACAAAGGATCGACGAGTTTAGACTTATGTTCCTGGTGAAATCTGTCTGAATAGCATCTCTCCGTGGTCTTGAACTTCAAGCCCTCATACAGGTCTCGTGAAATGCCGCCCTTCAAGAAGACAGAACGCCACGACACTGGAGATTATTCTGAGGTGTGTCACGGTTATGAAGATTAGCTCATTTAATTTTCACATACTGTCTCCGCTTGCTCTTCCAGGAGTGCCAGGATGGGACTCAAGTGCACGAAAACCCCTGCCCCAAACTGGAAGACAACACGTCAGCAGTTCGTCAAGCGCCTATTGAGATCCTCTCTGAGATCTTCGAGTACTTCGTCCCTTTCTACTCATTCTCTGACGACCATGCATGCACAAGAACCGACGCTCCCACCCCCCTAATGCTGACATGTCGCGCTTGGAACAACGCCGTCTTCGCCACACCAGGGTTCTGGACCACCATCCCAACAATCGAAATGTGGACGACCCGCTCTCGTTCGACCCCCTTCATCCAGCTCCTACAGATATACCTCGATCGCTCGAAGGGTCGACCTATTGACGTCTCCATTTGGAATAGACCTTGGAAGGATGTCGGCGGTCCAGCACCTCCTCATCCCGCAGTTTTGCTTATCGTCTCGGAATCGGCTCGCTGGAGAAGAGCAACTATTTCAATCAATGCAATGTCCGTCAACCTCCTCAGCGGTATCAAAGGTCGTATCCCACTACTTCGGACATTGCGATTCTCGATCCAGACAAGACCATCCTTCAGGAGCATGCAGGAGGTCTTTCAGACAACGCCAGCTCTTGTAGACTTGGAGGTCAGGACTTCCAGGGCATTCGAGTTCGTTGACATCCCAAGGACATTTACACGCTTCCGTGGTCTCGTCAAGGACCTTCAATTCTTCGAGGCGTCTTGCGCTCACATCACAGCGATAACTCTCAAAGGGCCGCTTCAGCGCATCGCTCTGCCCTCTCAAGCTCTGACACTTCCTCGTCTGCTCTCCCTTTCTCTAATCAATGAACGCTTCCCATACCCTGCAGATTCAGCTAACCGCTCGATCCTTTCCTTTCTCTCTGCCCCTCGCCTACAAGCGCTCGAGATCCATGGCAAGCGCCTCAGTGCCGATTTTATTTTAATGGGGTTCGTGCACCTTCAATTGAGATCCTGGATGAAATCCCGTATTCCTTCAACCCTGCAATCCCTTTCGATGGACATCAGCATATCGGACAATGCGTGGATCCCCGTTCTTGCGTTCTTACCGGCCCTCAAGACCTTTTCCACGCATCCCCCGAGAAACGATGTAGTAAACGCGTTATTCCGCCACTCGCTGTCGAGTGCTGTGCAAAAGTCACGGCATCAGTCGATCAAGGAATGCTTTGAGGCTCAAGAACAAGGGGAGTGTTCATGGAAGGAGATGCTTTCACACCCAGAAGGAGTAGAAGAGTCGAAGAAGCTAACTGGATGGCATCGAGTCATCGCGAAGCGATTCCTCATTCGCGACCCGAAGGAGAGCGTGAGGTCATACGCGGTGCGTCCTCAGTTTCGCAGTTTCGACATCTCAGTACCATATATATAATAAACTGATCTACTCGCTAGCTGACAGGGAAACGAAGGTCTTGGGTGAAAGCTCTAGCTGATGTATGACTCTGTAAGGTCTACCGCACCCCTACTGATTCTCCGCTACCTTCAGGATATGAATCGGCTTGACATCTTCCTAAAGCACATTGAATCCTACGAAATTGTGGACGTAAACTCGTTGAACGTAAGCACATCCTTTCCAGATGCTTTCAAGAAACCCATTGCTAAGTATCATCTTGCCAGACCTCAAGACTCCATCGCAGCATGCGCGATCTTAGCTTGATGCCAGACGGCATAATCCCGCAAGACGACGTTTACCACTTCCGCGAGCGCGCAAAAGCGCTTGTCAAGAGGTGGTTCGACCTCCTGTCGCCTTTGGTCAATGAACGACAATGGATCGTGACAGAGAATGCGACAGAACTGGAATATGTCGGACGTATTCCCGCAGATAAGCGAGGTACGCGTATTCGAAAATTACTCGCACCAGACGTCCACCTGACCGACCTCTTTTTCTCTCTGCTCGCCGATTGAAAGATCCCATTCAAATTGTATTTCATTGACTATATAATGATGCGGTATTGTACGAAATTGCGAACAACCGTTAGAAATAACCGTTCCGTAGCTCGAACGAAGCAAATTTGTCTAACTGACGGTCACGGATCCGTATGCGTGATGTCCCTTGTCTGCGTCCGTACACGAGAACCTCGGCGCCCTCAGCCTTGGTCCACCCAACTGCGTTCAAATACTCGGAAGTGGATGCCGACCATTTGGTGAGAATCACGGAAATATGGTTGCGATGGCCACGAGGGTCGTCAGAAAGCAAAGTACAAAATGAAAGGATGTAAAAGCACCTTGTCACACAGAAAACAGGCAGGCATATCCCTCCAGAATTTCATGAGGGACATAATATGATCAAGCTGTAGTGGAGGCGACTGTGAGCCTGAATAAATCTTTCACGAGGCGACGCTAAGGACCCACATCAGTTTCGAGCGCAGCCCTATTCTCCAAGAAATCCACAAAGTTCTGGAGCTCTGTGTTCCACTGCTGCAGATATCCTACGTATGTGGCTTCACTCCGTGACTCATGAAGCAGTATGGAAGGGTTTAGGACCGAAGTAGGAAATACAAGCGTTTCGAGAGGTGGGAGGCCTTCGACTAAGGCTGAAGACAGGTTAACGCGAACGGTCGCATCAGTTGCCTGTTCAATTCCTCTGGCGTATTTGAGACAAAGATGGCGCAAATGAGGGGTAACTGATGGCAATGATCTAAGTGTGGTTTGAGCAAACACGATGGAGCAAGGAAGGCAAAGATCGGTCAAGTTGGGCAAAAGCGACAGGAGGCGATTAACCGCAGCAGGGTCATGATGCCCGTGAAAATAGATCGCGGGGAGGTTCAACAAGGTGAGTCTACAAGACGACTGCTCAATGAAGTCGGAGATGATTGCGGGGTCCAAATGATAAACGTCTACGGAGAGCTTGCGGAGAGCTGGGAGAGTGAGGGAACGAAATAACTTTCGTACGATTTGTTGATCCTCGACGCCAACATGAAGGCTGGACAGAGACGGGTGAGAGAACCTCGCGCTATTGAGGGAGGTATATGAATGGGCGAGATAGAGGTCGCATCCTTCCAACACGGATGCTGACCGAAGGACGGAAATGGCACAATCGAGAGTGATCCTTGCCATGGACAATTGGCGAAGCTGATGCCAGGGAAGCAACAGCTCGTTTATGCGGGACAGAATGGTTCCCAATCCAGTAGTGACCTTGACATGTTCGAGAAGAGGCGAATGCTGAAATAAGATAACTGGGAGGTGTCGGAGAGGTTCTGTGTATACATTCTGTAGCTGAAGGAATTTCAGCGCATCCCATTGTACCAGTATGGGAGTTGAAGGCGAAAAGAATGCGCGAATTTCCTGAGGGTTGATAATATCAAGATAGGTGATCCGCCTTGAGTGAGGAGATACAAGGTCTCGAAGCGGGCAGACTGGGGATGAGAAGCCCAAAAAGTCGAGGCTTAGGTGAAAAGGTGCCGAACGGGAATGTTTGAGAGCCATTGACAAACGCGATAGCGTAGTCTGCCATTTTCCGTACATGACAGGAAAGGTGGACCAAAGCGTTGGTGCGGCAAGTGCGACCTCACGCCAGCGCCGACAAACTTCGATCACCCTCCAGATATCTTTTGGATCGCCATCGAGGGTGTGGAAGAAGATTTCCACCAGGATGTCGGATGGGAGGCCGTATTCTGCACGGCGAGATTTCAGGTTCGCCAGAAATATTCACTTGCTCTATTAGCGCATCGAGTTGTGCGACCTGTGCCGTGGACGACGCGACGATCGTGTGCGCGATGGCTTCCTCTCGCGGTTTTGGAGGGTCGTTGGTGACGAGGAGGGCGGCGATGGGAGAGATCTCGGGCGGTGGTGGAAGTTTTAGTAGATTCAAGCTGAAATTTGGGCATTCTTCCACCTTGGCTGGACTCATGACAGGTTTGCCTGAGGAGGATGTGGTCAAGTTCGAATTCGAACATGCCACTTCTGGTGTCGTGTACGGGCCGGATTTACATACCAGCCCCTATTTGACGAGACACCGTTCCTAGTTTTGACCGTCAACATTTTCGTGAAGGTCTGTTGCTCAACTCACGCAAAATATCTTAGTGACAGTGAAAATATAATTTCATCTGAACCTGAGGCTCTTCGACGTGTAGACAGCGGCGAAAGGGCGTGGATGCCAGTGGGTCTGATATGGGCTACGTTTTTCGTTCCTTGCTACTAAGTCTGCTTTATATCTTGAGGAGGTAAAGGGTTACTTCGTGCCAGAGAGGAATGTATTATAGCCGGAATCCTCCGTCGAGAACAAGCACGAGAAGGAACACAAATTCTTGGGCGAACGCGTTTCGAGAATGCCTTCAGATTTTGACATCTAAAGTATCTTTCGATTTCCGTTTAACTATATATTGTAATGCATCTGTTCTCCACTGCAAACGAGGCGAACAAGTCCTCCCGCCGATCATGAGTGCGAACATAGAAAGAGTCCTGGCGGCGTCCATATGCGAAAAGTAAATAGTCCTCCGCCATCATCCACCCAACCGAAGTGAGAATCTCCGACATGCGCGCCGACCATGTAGCAAGAATCGTGCGAATACGTTCACGATATGTGCGGAGGTAGTCTGGTAATCTCTCTGATATCCCCTCAAGCTCGGAGATGACGAATGGACCGTTCTACAAGTCGGGTCAGACTCGACGCAAGGGTGATTACGAAACAAAGTTCACCAATTGGCACAGGTACATAGCAGGAATGTCTTCTTGGGATTCAATTGCAGACAATATGTGGCCAAGCTGCGAGAAAGGCGATTGCGATCATGAACGGAGAATTCTCGAAAAAGATGAAGCTAAGGACGTACATCGACCGCCTGTGTAGCACCATACCTCTTTGACGAGTACGCGAGAGAAGCATACACCTTGCGGAGCTTTTTGTACCACTGATTAACTATATCTTCATACCTAGTGATTTCTGCCGAATCCTGAACCATGCTGTGAAGAGGCAGGGAGTCTATGCAAGGCAATATGAGTGTTTCGAGTTGAGGGTGGACGAGCCCCTTGGACATGGCTAAACCAACATCGCAAACGGCCGTCCGATCCTCTGTTGCAGTTGAACCATTGTCTATGAGATACAGGTGGTGTAACTGGGGAACGAGCGAAGGGAGCAATGGGAGGGTGGTCTGAACGAATTCCAAGGAGAAAGGAAGGCCGAGGTCGGTCAAGTCAGGTAGAAGCGAGAGAAGCTGACGGAAAGCGGGGAGATAATCTGTTTCTAATGGATGGCTCCCCGGGATGTCGAGAAAGGTAAGCTTGCAAAGCGACCGTTTGACGAAGTCGGAGATGATTCCGTGGTCCAAGTCAGATATGTCTACGGAGAGCTTGCTGAGCGACGGCAGAATTAGGTGGCTCAAGAAGTCTTGCGCGGCCTCTGCAGACTCTGCAAACCACCCACGGACATGAAGCCTAGACAAAGATTGGTGGGTGAATCTCCCGATGTTGAAATCGGGATCTGGAAGAGTCAACTCGACAGCGAGCTCTTCCAGCATTGGTGCCGCTTGAAGAACGGAGAAGGCACAAACTAAAGCGACTCTTTTTGCGGAGAACCTGCATAGTTGAGACCAGGGGAGGACGAGTTCGTTCACGTGGGAAAGCCTGGTCTTTTCACAAGTAGTAACTTCTACATCTTGAAGAAGAGGTGAATGCTGAAATACGGTAATTGGAGACGTTCGCGGTGACACTTTGAATACTTGATTTAGTCGAAGAGATCTCAGCGAATCCCATTTCACCAGGCTAGGACTTGAGGGAGAAAGGAATGTTGTTTGTGGCTTCTGGGGCGTGCACACGGTGAGATGGGTGATCCGCCGTAAGTGAGGCAGTACAACGGTTTGAAGGGGGCAGACCGGGAATTTGATGTCGGGATAGCCGCCTGACTCTCGGAAATCGATAGTAAGCTGGAAGAGAAGCGTGTGCGAACGCCTGAATGACCTGGATAGACGGGATAGGATGGTGGTGGCACTTGCGTACCTCTGGAGCGGAAAGACGGACCACAGTGCTGGTGTGGCAAGCGCGATTGCACGCCAGCGCCGACAAACTTCGGTCACCATCCAAATATCGCTCGGAAAGCCATCGAGGGCGATAAGGAAGAAAATCTCCAACAAAATTCCGGATGGGAGACGACGAAGAGTGCTGATGACGCTCCTGTGTAGCTTCGCGTGGTTTTTGTGCTCTGCACGCCGAGACCGCAAGCTCGCCAACACTTCATTGAACTGCCCAGTTTCCGCACAGAGCTGCTTGATCAATTCATCGCACTCTGAGATCCGCGCTGTCGAAGTTGCGATGATTTGGTGGGCGATGGCTTCCCCATGCGGTTCTGGAGGGTCGTTCGTGGCGAGGAGGGCAGCAATGGGTGAGATCTCGGGCGGTGGAGGTGCTTTCAGCATATACATGCTAAAACTTTGGGAAGTCTGCATGGTTTTTGAACAATTGAAGGGCGTTGACTGAGCTGGTTGGGTTCAAGGTCGACTTTGAAATTTGCGTGTTGCACGTCTTGGCAGCGTGAACGGGCCGGAGATCTACTTAAACCCCTATTTCATCTAATTCTTGGTCCCAATGAAAACCATGCCTGGAAATTTCGTTTGTTTTAGTTCGCGTTTGAGTCATATATAAGCGTACACACCACAAGTCGCAGGGTACGCGAGTAAATTCTCTTCGCTGGTGAGAATCTTTTCTATGGGTGTTCTTGATGTGCCCAAGGACTCAGCAGAGATGTTCATGTCCGTGTCTATTCAGATATACAACCACGAGCGACCTTCAACGAGGTCTAAAAATACGGAATGACCTTGAGAAAGAGGAAAGGAAAAAGTAAGGAGCGTGAGACGTATTCCTGAACCAAGACTAAAACCAAAGCCACCAAAAACCCAGCCTTGAAGTTAGACAGCTACGTCCAACGATTCACATTCATGATCATCTTCGTCCAATTTGCAAGCCTTCAACCTAAAGCTTGCTTCGACCTAATAATATAAATATTTAACGGAAAAACAGAACGTAAGTACGACCGCAGCGAAACAGTGAAGACGTATATGAGCAAGGAAGCAGAAAGGGGTACGCAAGAATGTTCCTGTCCGTCCGACGACGAGGAGATGGACACCAGCGCTGACCGGGACCGATGGCTCCAGAACACGGAGAGATACGAGGCGGACAAAGGAACACGAAGAAAGGTAATTAAACATGCTATTAAACAAGAAAGGGGGGGCGAGGGGAAAGAATCCGAGGATCGTACGACAGGCACTACTGACAAAATTTTGAAATGCAATGTATCGAAATGAAGATGAAGATGAAGGCGAATAGGGGTACGCGGCCCACGGGAAAGGAGGGAGCGGAGAAAAGGAAAGAGGAAGTGGGCGAGATGAGAGCATCAGTAAGGAGGTCGTGCGGCGTACGTTCGTTCGTTGAGATGTGTATATGCTGAGGGCGGATTGCATTGCGAGTTGATGTGATGTGATATAATTTTTTTTCAATGATCATGTTCTGATGGGCGGCGGTGGGGTAGGAGTAAGACTCGGTGCTGTCATCCATCCGCCTAAGACGTCGACGGGGATGGGCAGCTGATGGATGAGGATGGTACAAGTTTTGAGTAAAGTTCCGAGTCGCAACGAGGTTGTACTTTGGGCTTTAGTTTGGGTTTGGTATAGGTATCAAGATTTCAAAAAAAAAAAAAGTTGAATCAACACCATAATAACAAAAAATGAAATGAAGAAAATAATAAGGAAGAGAATATTTCGAGAGAGAGAGGACAGTCAAACGAGAGGACAGGATATCATATCACAAATAATAATGGGGTTGGAGGAGAGCACCGATGGACCGAAACCGATAGCAGATGAGGGAGGGGAACGACGGACAATTAATGAACGACCAACGACCGGGCAACGACCGACAACGGACAACAACGATGACGAGGTGGCAACGACAGCAGCAACGATGAGGGTGGGTGATAGAGATCGACGAGCACGACCAGGCAAGGTGATGAAGTGAGGCGTGTACGACACAACATCAACCACCACCACCAGAGGACGATCAACGAACACCCGACGCAACTCAGTGCCGCCGAAACGAAGCAAGCAACGGCACGTCAACGTCAGACGCCAGAAGTCGAGCATCCACACCTATGTCAATCACTCCTTGGCAATTGAAGCCGCGTTACGCCCACCAAGCCCCACCACACACCGCCCGCCGTACTCGGTGATATCGTCGTCGCTGCCGCTGCGGAAGTTGTGGTCGTAGTCGGTGCCGGTGTCGGATGAGCGGGTACTGCTCTACAGCAGACCGCACTCCCGGAGGTGCAGTTGCAGCAGGATGTCTTGGATGGCGCTCAGGACGACTGTTGGTAAAGGAGAGAGGGTAACGTCAGCATTTGCACGAATGAAGTTAAACGAGCAATAAAGAAAGGCAGGCAGGTACGTAGGCAAAAGAGTAAAAATACGCCTCCATCCTCAACTCCGATGACACAAGAACGACAGTGCAGGAAGAAAAAATAGACGACGAATAGACAACACATCGAGAAGACAGGTGTGACGTACACTTGATCTGCTGCGTGTCTGTCGCACATGTGTAGTGCGCATATATCTGCTTGGTCGCCGCGCTCTGGTTGAGAGAGACGAAGCGGTGGAGGAGGTAGTCGCAGGCCGCATCGTAGTTGTTCCCACCCGTGTAGTCGGGGAAGTAGTCCTCGAGCGGCGAGCGCGGCAGCTTCTCGGCGAACAGGTCGATCTTGTTCAGGAAGAGGATCTAGAGCGGGAGAAGAAATTATGTTAGCGTTTTGTTAATCTAGGAGGAAGGAGAAAGAAGACATACAATTGACGTCTTGACGAACCACCGCGAGTTGCATATCGAGTCGAAGAGCGTGAGGGCTTCTTGCATACGGTTCTAGAAGGCACATTAATGACGAAACTCAATCAAAGTCAGAAGGAGGTAAGAAGACATACCACACTCTCGTCCTCATACAGCATCTGATCGTACTCGCTCAACGACACCAGGAACACCAGAGCCGTTACATTCTCGAAACAATGTATCCACTTCTTCCGCTCGCTCCGCTGGCCACCAACATCGAACAGCTTGTATGTGAGCTCGCCGACCTTAAACGTCGTCTCCGTGATACCTGTCGTCTTGACACGCGAGCGGAGGATGTCCTGGTCGGTCGGCATGTACGACGGCGACGCCATGCGTTCGATCGAGTTGAAGTAGTACACCGCCGAGTCGTTCAGCTGGAATTCGCGGGCCCGGCGCACAGCCTCTTGCACGGCGGGGTCGCGCCATAGTGAGCGGATGGCATCGGCGACGTCCCGTGGGAGGGTCTCAGCCTCGATTTGACCGGGAAGGGCGACGATGGTGGCGCGGCGGGCGTCGTTTTGGGGCTGAAGAGCAGGTCGAGCTGGGGCAGGGCATCGAGGATGGCACTATAAGGGGTTACATAGGGGAATGGCGTGCTAAGCATCGGAGCATATGATACCGATGGATGAAGTGAGAACGCACCGCATGGATTGGATGGTGTTGGAGTAGATGATCTCCTTGTACGAATCCCGCTCCGAATCGTTGTAGCCACCGTGGTGGATGAGCTTCATCTGCTTGAGGACAGTCGACTGTGGTGTGAAAATGTCAGTAAGCATGAATATGCATGATGGGTGATAGAAGCGGCTTGTGCCAATCCGCGGGCGGTGGTCCACAGAACGAAAAAGTGAACGAGGTAGATGGAGAACAGGACATCGAAGTGTGTGAAAAGGGATGTGAAGAGAGAACAAGGGCCTGGACCTAAGGAGAAACACGAACCTTGCCCGACTCTCCAGCTCCCAACAGCAACATCTTAATCTCGTTCTTCGCCATGAGACGGTCCCGCTTCAGTTGGTTCTCAATCTCGTCATTACCTGGGTTCAGAAAAGCAAGGCTCGTCAATATGCAATTCATCAGCTATACGCCAACAAGAGTCGCTCCCGCCGTTCATGCTGGTAACCACCAGCTGCCGACGTAGCAACGACTCCCCCTGGCTCCTCCGAGGGCAGAAAAGGGTACTCACGGGCCTTGGCCTCATCATCAACACCGGTAGACTGTACACAACCCATTTTTGCGATGTGTTGTCAGGGGGGTTACTAGGAAATTAGGATAGGGCGCTGGGGCGAGGGAGCGTCGTGGGCAGGGGTCGCAGCGGGCCTGGTGGTGTGGGGGGCGCAGCAGCTGGCGAGGGGCGGGGGCGGAGAGAAGAGGTGGTCGTCGGGGGGAAAGGAGAGATGGGGGTGGCCGAACAAGTGGTCGCGGAAAACTCCCGTCCCCTTTGTTTTTCCGTCCAAAAAAAGGGCCCAATTGGTCATTCTTTCCCACACCCAAATTTGCTCGCTTATGTAACGCCTCCCAGCCCCTGTTTGGTGCTCCCGCGCTCCTCAGGATAGCCTCGTCTCGTTTCATTTCTCTCCGACCCCCGAACTTATATTCTCTTCCGATGTCCTCGTCCGTCAGAGATCTTCACAACTTGGGCCCGGGCGCCGTTTCGTCTGGCAGGATCAGCCCCCGCTCCAAAGCTGGCCCCGAACATTGTGCAAGGCGCACTCATATGGCTCCGCATCACCATCGGACCAAGGTCTATTTTCCTGCAGAACCTCGCCCGAACGAGGAGTTCGGCCTTTCTGCCTTACTCCCCAAGTTCCAACGTTCCAAAAACACCTATCAGAGGGAAAATAGCCCGAGATCATCGCGAACGCCCGTGCTTCCTGCTTCCATCATGATGCCCATCGACCTATCACCCAGTCCAGCTCCCGTCGAAACACGAAGTCAGAAGAGTAGTGGTCCTTCGTCGTCGCCGACGCGGACGACGGGGATGAATATACCCGTACCTTCGTATCATGTGCGTCTGGCGCTCTGTAAGCCCTCGTAAGGCCATGTCATATCTAATGACACCTGCTCCGACTCCAAATCTCCAACCTTCTCGTCATTTAGGCCCTTCAACTCGAACTCCTGACTATCTTCGCGGCTCACAATGGAGCCAGCGCCGGCAGCTGCTGCACCAGGCGATCATCACGTACTGACTTCTGGATAATGTAACCGACCACACCATTGACAACTCTAAATTTGCCTCCATTCCACCCTTCGCTCTCGCCCTTGCCAAAAATCTAAAATTGTTTTCACACTTCATACCGCCCTTTCTCCCTCTTCTTCCGTGCCCCTCAGCGCCCTCTCCTGGCGCCGAGCGCCACGACCGTCGGACCGATCACACCAGAAATTACTTGAGTTGCCTAATCCGCACACAAGGCTGCCGTGGCGCTGCGTGGTGTGGAGCGGGCGAGTCTGGGTCCTTTGTCTAAATCGTGTTGTTCTTTTTCCTTTTCCCGACTCGACATGATCACCGAAAAGTCAAAGGGCAGGACAAAGGCGATTCTTCTCAAACTCTTCTAATACGCACCCTACTGGCGCCACATAGCACTCTCTAACACCGCACTCGACGCTATATGGCAACTCTCTTGTCTCGTTACGTGTCCCGTAACTCCTCTAGTCTCTAACGTGTTCATTTCATTTCATTTCGCGTGGATTACAGCACGTTTTGACGCTTGTTCGCTGCTTGCTGTCTTCCGCCCTCGAGCCCCCTTTCCACCGACTCCATTTCCTCCATGTGGCGTTCCAAATACACTCAATCGCCCAAGGGATTACGCTAGCGTTCTCGATTCTTGAATTCGAATATGTCATGGGCCCGTGGCGCTCTGTCTTCGTTTCTCCTAAGCCTAAAGCCGTTGTGGGTCCCCTCGTTTCGTCACCTACGTATATGTAAGTCTTCTGAGTCCTAAACCTTCTCGTTTGTTTCTTCTCTGAACTTACTTCCCTTCTCTTCTTGACGTTCGATGCTTCTCAAGATCAGGACGACATACATTCCCGAAACAGCAAGCCGTGCCCCAGCTCAATCATGCTGACCCTGCAGGCCCATCTTCCATCCTCCATCTTCTCCTCGTTGAATTTTCGTCAAGCTCTAATCAAAACGCTTTCTAGACCAGGAATCAGGATGCGAACGTCTTCTGCAACTCCAACATTTTCACCTTTTAATCCATACAATCAGGCTGCTTCTTCCCCTACCTTCCGTTTCAACTTTCCAACGTCCGCCAGTCGGCATTCATCCTGTTTCTTGGCGTCGGGAGATACTCACTTGGCTAAAGCTTGGAGCTTGGCGTTTTGATGCCATCACCACCGATTTCCTTCCGTCTTGGGGAATATTTTCTGCCAAGCCTCCGGCGTCTTTGGTTGGCCGTGCCGGTCCCTGGTCCTCGGTCTCTTCCTTGCCACCAACTCGCCTTCGACTCGACGTTCAACTAGATGGGATAGGCGGAGGAGACGAGGACAGCCTACGCCCCCCAATTACTCGAGCGTTGAAGCCTATTTACGCTCGGCGGCACCTTGGACTCGAAACTCGGATCCGTATACCTCAACTGAATAGAACACTCCTGCTCTCCGATGGTCGTCCTGGTCACTGCACAGAATCTCGATTCTCCCTCTCCCTCCCCAGGGCCTGGGACGCCTAATGACTCATCCTCCTCCCTCTTCAGTCATGTTGAGTTCCTACGGCTCACTCAAACTAGCGACCGTGACGGTTTAGATGGCCCAAGACACGTCGCACGCGCCCTCCTCCACTCCAACACCTTGGATGAATAGGGCGTCGGGTATAATTTCTTTTCCAGTGCACGCACGTTCCTTCATCCATGTGTCCTGAATCCCAGCGGGGCGCGTGCATCGTGGTCGCTTTCTAATGGCGAGCATCTAGTGCTACTTAGGTCGCGTGTATGCCATTCTTGAACGATCGTCTGGAGCGCTCCTCGTCCCAGGGAAAGACCTTCATCACTTTCTCGAGGCTCGCATTTGATGGTGCTTCATGCCTTCCCCCCGAGTCTCGACTCAACCCGCCCGCCTTTCTCCATATTTCGCGTCTTCCTACCATTCATACCCCTCCCGCGACTGTATCTCAACCCAACGCACCTCTTAGTCATTGGTCACTCGCCTCTGGCATGCAATGGCGAACCTCCAACCCCCATCGGCATCTGTCAGTGCTGCGAGTAAGCGCACCACCTTGATCTGAATCACTCGAGTGTCCAAACCTGGGGCAGAATCTGAACCTCGAACAATGATTTACTTACCTTTGGATGTCGGATCTTCTTGGATATACTGGACTCAATTATCTGGGCAGTGAAGATGACGGTCACGGGAAATAATTATTATCTAAGGTCGACTTGCACGACCGAGTCGGACTGAGAACATGGCTTTGAACCCTGTGCTGCTCGAGTTATTTTTCGCCGTCCGCATCTAGCAGGCTTCGGACGTTCACCGACGCTTGGGGAGATCCTCCCACAACATCAGCTCGAGGCGGTGTTCATGTTCATCACCCCGTCGACAGCCATCGACTCGTGCGTATTCGTTCGTTATTTGAGCGCCAGGTATGCTTAGGTATGTTTTCGTTTCCTTTATACATACATGCTTACCCCGTTCCCGGTGTTCTCGCTAATGCGATTATATTCTAGTGATTCTACAGCCATCCCGAGTAGTCAACGCCTATGTATTAGGTGGCTATGCACCTCTGCTTCGAACGAGCTATAACAAGGCTCCTTTCATGCTGTTGATGTTTCGTCGTATGAACTCACGAGAAGATCACCATCTCTCAGCCCTTCGAAACATATACTTGGAAACTCGTAGGTCGGACAGCCTCTAGCTATTCACAGCTTCCCAAATGCAGGAAGGCCTCGTTCTCCACACACCCTCATGCACCGGGTAACGTCTTCGAAGCCTGATGTCTTTTTCTGTCCCCACGCCGAGTCTGCACAGCACTTCAACCCATCTATCATCCACGTTCTGTCAGAGGTTCCGACTCGCGGAATCAAGTTCTACATCGGAGAACCGTCGCTCTGATCCTTAAATAGTCGTAGGTTCTGGTCTAGATGAACGAAAATTACTCAGAGGCCCTCCTGGGCATATCTCACTCCAACGGCGAAAAAATAGGATCGGTAAACCCTTTCTGAGGGATTGAAGCTGGAGATCACGCAGACGTATTATTCACATAGAGATTTCACCAGAAATTAAACTATTCAAACTCGTCCTTTTGTAGTAGTGGAGGGAGTAGAGATGCCATGGGGGAGATAAGATGAGATGGACACAGAATAGGGGTGGGGAACAATCTGTTGAAATTCAACTTGCTCTTCAACTGCCTCATGGTCACCGAGAAGGCTTCAATCGACCGGCTCACGATGGAGACCTACCCTAATCCGAGCACAGATCCTCTAGTAATCCCACCAAGTGTCCTCGAAGTTTGTCGGCGTTGGCGTGACATTGCCATACCGACACTTTGGTCTACGTTCCCATACGCCATTCAATACCACTCTATAGATCTCGTCTCTCAAGATCACTCAAATATGCTCGATCGCTTCCTCTTCAACTTAATATCGGCGATACTTGTCATGAAGTTCGAGACCTTGTACTCCCTCACTCAAAGCAGATCATTCATCTTGAAGTATTCTGGCATCTGAAAGCGAGGTCGACGTTCTTTTTTCTTTCGACTCCCGTGCTAGTGCTCAAGACGTTGAGGTCACTACCAAGATGGAAACTGTCTTGTCCCGTATCGACGAACTCGTTCTCCCCTGGTCTCGATTACGCAAGTTTTGCGGAGGAAAAATAACCTTACGTTATGCCCTCTGCGTCCTTCAAGCAGCTCCCATGCTCGAAGAATGTACTTTCACCTTAGCTTCTCACCATTCTCGCCCCAATCTTCCGCCCCCTTTATCTCACAGGTCTTTGTCCAGGCTTCATATTCATCCGCAAGATCAACAAGTTGCGCAAGACTTCTTGAGCCCTTCTCATTTTGCCATCACTCAAGAAGCTCTCTGTACTCGTCTATGTTTTGGACCTCGGAATCGTCTCCGACTTCATCAAGCGCTCGTCTTGCAAGCTTGCCTTTCTCAGCCTTCCCGAGGTCTATATGGACTTCTCTTCTCCAGGTTATCCCACAAGCGCCGTTCATCACCTCCTCTCCCTCGTACCCAACGTGACCGACCTCTGTCTTCCTTCTCCGTCGCCCTCGTCCAGACTACTCTCACATCAATTCCATCACTTGTCCCCCAACTGCGTCATCTTCATCTCAAAGGTGTGGATTCAGATCCGACAGCCGCTGTGCCAGCCATTCGCAACGTCGCTTTAGCCGTTGCCAGAGGAGATTTGTCCACTCTCGAAACACTGATATTGGACTCTTGGGACGTACCACTTTCCGAAATGATTTATACATCATCGGACAGAACCATGTATGAAAAGTTGCTTTATCACTGGTCCGACAAGCTCTGGAAGGTGATGATTGCGCTCAACCCTTCAATGGTGCAGTGCAACCCCTGATGTTGATGTAAGTTCGCAGTTTTACCTTTATTCATGATTGTGACCTCGTTTCTACAGCTCGACCTCACATTGTCCCTGATTGAATCCCGACAGGATATTCCGCCTCTATACCTATGCCAAGAGGTACGTTTGGGTTCAATGCTCATAACTACCCGTATGCTGTCGCTGATCAGACAATAGTATGGTCACGAAGTCATCTTTGGGCTCGAGCAGATATTGGAGAAATTGACAGAAGAGGTCTGTACGCATCGTGAGCGTTTTTCGAAGATTCTTTCTAGATGGTCCGCGTGCATGTCAGACTTTCTGACTTCGGTCGGGTGGATGGAGGACAAGGACAGGAGTTTTTGTGCATGCGCGCCGCCCGGGGTCCCTATATGTTAAAATTCGCAGTCGAACTTGGCAGAGCCCGCGATTTGCCTCGTTTGCAGTGGAGGATGGATATATTACGATACATTGAATACATTCTCGAAACCGAATTTATGTTTCCGGATGGTCTTCGTATGGCCAAAACAGCGTGGGTTCGTCCACGAACTTGTATTCTCCGTCAATGAGATCTCTCTCGCAGCCGTCTTCATCTGGTAATTTTGGGGTTAAACCCATGGGTGATGGAATCGAGGTGCGTCTCACTCACCTCCTCGAGTTCTAAGATACAATAAGGAGCGAAGCCCATGCCGGATCCATCTATCGCCGTTTGGTTGGTCGCCAAATGCTGCTGTCCAGACATCGAGCAAAGAATGAGCGCGACGGAGAAAGTGATATTTGGACTCTTGTGGTATCTTGCAGGAGTCGAGGAGCCAGAATTTCCTGAGGATGCTCAATGCCCTGACCTACGTATAATTGCTGAGTAGCTCCCAAGGCGGGAGGAAGAAATCCGACATACCTCGATCAACTTAGGATCGTCTATCTTGATTGATTCTAGTGCAGAGAGGAGCGAGTCGAGCTTCCGCCCGGCCCTCCAGTCGGACAGAGTTTGAACGAGCCCTTGATGTCGTTCCGACTTGTACGAGGTAATCAGGACATCTAGCTCGGTCAAGAGCCCGGATAAGTCTTCATATGCTCTTCGATTATCGGCTCGAGCGACGCCGTCGAGTGCGGACGAAGCCTCTTCGCACGTCGGAGCGTCGGCGAAGACGAGGCGTACCACTTCAAGGGGCGAGTGGTCCGACTGAGGGGTATTCTTTTTCGATCGACTGTCGATGAGCTTGTTGATCGAGTCGAAGGTTGATGCTGAAGGTGAATAAATAGTGAGTTTGCGTAGGCGAGGAATTAGCGAGGGTTGGCCGGGAAGGCTGCGGATAGTGAGCATTGTGATCTGTGCGAGGTCCTCGCTTGGGATGTTATTGCATTCGAGGTCGATGAGGTGCGGGGTGTGTAGAAGGAGATGGACTAGTTCGAGGGGTTTGGGAGGCTGCGTATAGATTGCGAGTCGAAGTAGGTTAAGCTTCGCCCCAGGGTTGCCTGAGCGAATAACTAGATTCACAATGCCCTGGAAGAGACGTGTGGTGCCTGGATCTCGTACGCGGATGTTATGGAGGCTGGGCAGTGTGAGCCGAGGGAGGATTGATATCGAGGAGTCGTGGTACAGGCGGATGTCAAGGTGTGTGAGCCGCGGGAGTGTTGCCGGGTTTATGTGAACCAAGAGTGAGCTTGGCTGGGCTGTGATATATGTGAGGTGTTCAATAGGATTTCCATCGAAAATGATGAGTGGAATGCCGATGGCTCGACCTGAATGCTCCTTGTATTTCGTTAACTGCTTCCAAGGAAGTTTGAGGAAGAACACTGTCGAGCATTTGATTTCGGCTTCGCGTAGGCAAGGAGCATTCTCGAATGCGTAACATTGCCCAGCATAGCGTGAGTTGGGTCTCTTAGTGGCAACATGAAGACGTAGACTCTCCAGCATGGGCACGTTACTGCGAACAAGACGAGTTGATTTTGGCTCCAGAGCGGAAGGGTCAGCAGTGATAAATGCAGATTTCCAGCTTTTTGAAGTCTGGAAATAAAGGTTCGCCATAGGGTGAATATCGGGTCCTGAAAGATTACTGAGCTTAAAAGAATAAAAAGGCACTTTCGGGATAACTTGAAGGAGGTGTTGGCTGAAGGCAGATGTGTCGTTGTACTTCTGGAGACGCAGATGGGGGATAGTACTGTGGAGAAGTGGTATCGAGAGTGAAGCAACGCGCCAAAGACGGCAGACATGGCCGAGCAAGTAGGGAGGATTGTCGAGATCGGGACAAGGATCGTGGGCGGTATGGATCATAATTTCACGAATCAACTCGACTGGAAGTCGTCGAACAGGCGATATTATTGAATATCCCTCCCGAATAAAGGTTTGAAGAGCACCGACGTGTTTATAGTCTTTGCCGTACTTCGACAGCCTTCCTTTAGAGTCGACCTCATCCTTTGCCCTCGAAATCGCGGCAACGACCAGTGCCTTCTCTTCTGAAGTGGGTTCATCGTTAACAGAAAGGAGCCGAGGTACGGGATGGATTGGACGGTTTTCGAAAGAATGGGGATTCATGCCTGCCGTAAGGTCGGTGTGGGTGGTGTGCGGAAGAGATGATGAAGCACAGCCACCCTCAGCGTCGCTTTGACCGAATCCTTGATGGCAAACAGTGGCGCATCAAAAATCTGTCTTGGCCAGGGTATCGGGATATGAAGGGTAGAAACGTTTGTCATCTCCCCGAAGAAATAGCTCAGGCATGATTTATTCACTACTTAGCGCCGCCCGCCAATATGACGGCAAAAGTCACTGTCACAATTGCCCCCAGCACAAAGCTTATCGCGCCAACCTCGATGGTAGAGACAGGGTAGTAACCCAAGACGAGAGCCTTCTGGACGAGGAAGAACCGTTTAGTTCCTGCGTTAAGAAATGATGGGTCGCAGAGGTAAAGATAGCGCGTCAGATGGGAGTATGGGCATTGTAGCAGCGTCAGTAGAAGACAAAGAAGACAGAGATAAACTCACCGACGTAGAGAACCACGATCGCAGTCAGGATTGTTACAACACCCAGTGGAACAGCGTAGACCCTTGTCCCGTGTCCAAGATGCAGAAACTGGATGAGGGCTGTGGAGACGCATAGAACCCCAGGACATCAGTGAAATGGAAGGGACAAATGGCAGATAGACCCGGCATGGGTAAGTAAGGGTGGAAGAAAGAACGGGGGCAGGTGGCCAATAGTACCATGACTTACCGACGCCAGCAGAAGCAAGTCCAAGACTCGTCCTCACGTACGCGAGATACGTTCTTTCCGAAGCCAAATGGTCCCTTGCGACACTGCCCGAGTTCACAAGATTCAATTCGACTCCTGTAATTGCACTGCGATGTTTCGTAGTCTGCTCCTCCTCAGGATTTCCTGGGGACCTTGAGTCTCTGTTCTGTCCATTTCTCGAAGCTCGACCACGTTGGCTGCTCGGCGATGGAGGAGAAGGTGCAAGAGAGGATCCATCGGAGGCGACAGCGTTGTTGGAAGATGGGGCAGGAGATCTACCGTGATTTGTGCGTATTCAAAGCAGCAAAAGCATGAGAACTTCAGTGACGCGTCGATCAGTTGTGAAAAGACGCACCTTCGCTTCCGACCCCAACCCAACAGTGGAGATCTCTCATTCACACCGGCTTCCTCATTGCCCGTCGCCGCTCGCAAGTTCTCATTCTCAACTACAGTCGTCATCATGTGTTCATTTACGCGTGAAGGTCGTGGATGGAGAGGAGGAAAAGGACACGATAAGAGTCCGGAAGTCGTCAGCGGTCATGTTATTTGTGGAAGAATGTCGTCAAACGGCGCAGGGACCAATCGAGGCGGAGTCAAACGCCATTTCGGGAGAAAAAGGCGTCATAGTGATCGCCCTTGAGTGGCGCATCGGAAGCTTTAGTCACGATATGCAAGAACAAATGCTCGCATTTAGGTGTCGCGATGCTGAAAGAAAGCTTTGCGAGCACGACGAGTAGTGGAAGCTTAGTGAGATTGGGCGGCTCCGCGACCGCGTATGGATTGCTATACCTGTCTTCGACTGAAGCGAACGGATGGATGTTTCCCCAGAATGCCGTTGCGCTTTACAACATTTGTCCTGGGTCCACGAGCTAATAGGGGCGAAGATCCTGAAATCCCCCAGGACACCATTCAATTCGCGATGATCGACACCTAACAGTGCATTAAATATGGTACCAGAGGCTTTGGGTATTTTGCCGACTTCATGGGACCGGGGATAAAGAAAGTGGAGCATAATCCATACCGGATGCATCGATATTCTTTAGGACGGTAGCGAAACGCAGCTCGAGCAAGGAGTGAGTGAAATACGAAGACGGATTTGACAGTTAAAAACAAGGGGGTCGCGGAGCGGAGTGGGGAACGTGTCATCGTACGAGGTAACCACTACATGTTCAGACGTCTTGATATGGCCAAAAAAAAGCCGGATCATTGACGGTGCTGTACTCTCCATGAACGAATTGGTCGTGCCATCCCTCGCCTAAGCTGCACGTTAGATTTTCTAAACCAGATAACGATTCCGCCGCACTCACCTCCTGCGTCTCGAACATAGAGCAAGGAACGAAGTCCATGCCGAACCCACCTATGTCCTGTCGGGCGATCGCGAAACGCAGCGGTCCAAACGTCGAGTAGGAACCGAGCGCGGCGGAGGAAGTCGTACGACGACTCCAGAGGGATCCGATGCGAATCAAGATGCCAGAACTTCTTCAGGATGTTCAACGCGCGGACCTGCATGTGGTAGCTTTTAAGTTGAAAAAGAAAGGAAGAGATCGGATGGAATAAAAAACATACTTCTATCAACTTGGGGTCGTTGAGCGGGGTCTGTTCCATGGCGGTCAATACGCTGTCGAGTTTCCTGGCGGCCATCCAATCAGAAACTGCCTGAAAGATGCCTGGCTCGGCGTCGAGCTTGTACGACTCCATCAGTGCGTCCAGCTCTGACAAATGCTTGGAGAGGGCTTGAAATGAGTCTTGATCGTCTGCGCGAGCGACATCGAACACGGATGCAGCCTCGTCGCAACAGACCTCGTCTGGGAAGACTAGCCGGACGACGTCGAAGGGCACATGGGGTGCTCCTGGGGTGACCTTCAAGCGAGAGTCAATCAGCCTGTCGATAGCGGAGAGGGCGAGCTTTGAGGGAGAGTAGATAGTGAGCCTGCGTAGCTCAGCAATGAGAGGAGGCTCCTGCGGCACGAAGGCTGTTTTATCGGCCGGCATCGTCATTTCTGCAAGGTCTTCTAGGGGAATATCATTGCACTCGAGCTCGACGACATGCGGGACGAGTCTTAGGAAGTGGGAGAGTTTTGATGGGGCGAACGGCTTGGTGTAGATGGCGAGCCGGGTGAGCTTCGACTCGAAACTTCGCGGGCGCCAGAGAAGGGAGCGGATATCTCTCAGCAATTCTGGGTGCCCCATATCCCGCACGCGGAGTTCTTGCAGATTCGGGGCCCTAAGTTGCTCCAAGAACGGAATCGATTTTTCATGGTAAAGCCGGATGTCGAGGCGGGTAAGGCGGTGGAGCACCGTGGCGCAGATTTTGCCTGCGACGGAACTAGACTCCAGGGCGATGTACGTCAGATCCTCGAGGCGCGCCCCTTTCTCGTTCTGGATAAGGGACGGAAATCCAAAGGGCCGGGCTGAACGTTCCTTGTATTTGGTTAGCTGGTGCCATGGAATCTTGAGCTCGAATGGCGGGGTTAGCGCTTCGACCTCAACTTCATGGAGGGAAGGTGCGTCTTTGAAAGCGTCACAGCTGCGGATGGCGCGCGCGAGGGGCGGTGGACTCATGAAGCAAAGACGTAAACTTTGTAGGTTTGGAACTTTGAGTGGGTCGAAGAGAGAAACTGCAACGGAAGAGCGGGGATCAATGGTCAATGACGCTGTTTTCCAGCGGCGCGAGCGCACAAGAAACCAGACCATTATTGGGTGTCTGCTATCGTAGACGTTGCTAAGTTTGCAGGAATATAGTGGTACCTGTTCTAGAACAAGTCGGAGGCGGTGATTGAGGCCTAGCTTGCTATGATGCTTGGTGATCTGAATGGGCATTGTGACGGTATAGATCGCGGGGGATAGAGATAGGATGACAGAGCGCCAACGACGACAGACGTGTCCGAGTCGATACGGGGGATGGTCGAGATTGGGACGTGGGTCGTTTGCGAAGTGGGTGAAGATGACACAAAGTAACTCGGTGGCAAGGCGTCGGAACGCAGAGACGACGCCCTTGTGGGATCGGACGAAGGCTATAAGCTCTCCGTCTCGGCGATAATCTTTCTTTGACGCTGGAATTGACTGCCTCACATGCATCTGCTCTTCAGCGGCCTTGATTGCTTGGACGATGAGTGCATGCTCCTCTGCAGTCGGCTCGTCGTTTGACACCAACACCCGGGGTACTGGAGGAACGAGGGTAGTGCTGTCAATGATAGGACCGTCGCACATAGTGCAGAAATTGAAGGAGAGGATGGTGGGAGGAGGTAAGTGCGAAGAAGGATCGCAGCCAATGTTTTGTCGTCCGGAAAATACACTAGGATCTCTATAGCATCCGCTTAACACGTCGACAGGTGCATAGATGGAAATGCTGCACAGGTTTCTACGTCCACATCGTCAGACGTGGCTGTTCCTACGTGGCAAATAAAAATGTTAGCATATCAAGCTCAAGACCCGGAGAGTCGACGGAGAGGTGATGGAAATAAGATGAGAAGACGACCATCAAATACGCACCTGAAAACCAGATCTACTGACAAGCTTCATAGCATGAATTGAAGCTAAGATTGTCTGCACGCCGCCGTCCATTGGTTCAACGATTGCTATAATTCTTCACGCAGCGCGCTGGAGCCTGTCAGAGGAAAGTAGGAAAATGCATGATACAAGTTGACGTTGAAAATGTTGAGCTTCCCCCACGGTATTTGCGCTACATGCTGATACCAAACAAAGACGCATCGAAACACCCCTTCAAGCTTCAGGTCCCGGCTCCATCTTCGTCGACGCTGTATACCAGGCCTACCCACTCTATGAGTCTGCGCTCCGCCCGCTGACGACAGTCTCGCGATGGATCCCGGTGTTCGCAGTAAGCCTTCCACTTAGTCGATTTCTGACCATCGTGCCATAACGAAATCGCTGTTCAGTTCGCAGGCACCAGTCTGGCCTTAGGTCATGTCGCTGAACGAGAGTCATTTTCGTGTGGCTAGGCAAGAGACTTCGATCCACGCATGTGCTACCTCCTTTACTCGTCCTTACCCTCCCTATTTTTGCGCATACATCGTCCACCAGAAACAGACGAAGGACGTCCTGATGTCCTTGCCCTCGCGCTGTTCTGTGTGCTCAAGGAATGGGAGTAGGAGGATGCAGAGAGCGGACAGGTAGCGCGTACCAAGAGGGTAGATTGACGTTGTGGGCGTAGGTGGCATCGAGCCAGCGGTGCGGGTTGAACGGGCGAAGAGGCACGAGGAGCGGGCGGATAGGAAGAGGGACGGCTAGAACTTTAGCGCTTAGCGTTTAGAAGGTGCGTTTTCCGATAGATTGATGCCGTTTCGTTATGCTGACCTCTTTTGCCTCTCAGTAATTCATGTACATTGCCAATAAAGGAAGTCTTTCATGCTCTGAACTTGCATATAAATCACTACGTATATGCGCTTAGACAACGAAGCCTGCATCGTGAAACCCACGTTGCCTGCTCGTACGATAACCAGGACCACTTATGCGCCCCATAACGATGAATCAAAGACCCCCTGCCTGAGCTTGTTGCGGGACCGGGAGAATAGAGAAAATGCCTTCAACGTCGATGGATACTGCGACTATGTGACCTCCAGTCCGTCCTATTCCCCGTCTTCCCTCATTCATCTTAGTTCAAACTACAGATGCCCTACTTTTTACATAAAACGAGGGATACCACTCCCTCGCTCGACCCGACAAAGTAGATCGCTCTCGGTGCGAAAGTATAGCCCTATCAATCGACCAACAACCAACAACCAACGATCGCTGTTGGCCTCTTCCTTGTACTTTAATCTCGGTACGTGCTGTTCTGTACTGTGCTCTCCTGGGTATCACAATCCGCCAAGGTGTGCTTTACTTATCTCGATTCTGATTCAGGCGAGTATCGGCATGATACCATTCGCCATCCTCCGCATCTCGTGCCCCTCTCCGTCGAATGTGGGTGCACGCGCACGGAAGGTCAACCTTTTCATTCTGATTAACTTTTCGTCTTTTACATAGTATAACGACAGAATTGGGCTACGCCCCCACGATCCAATGTTCATCATGGGGCTCCGAGGGCCGATAGCAAGGAAGGGCAGCTTCGCCATCCCAAGGGTTTTCCTTTCGCGGAGCAGGACCGAACTATGACCGAAATGACCGAACGTCAGTCACGTGACAGAAAGAGCCAAATTGAGGACAGTTTCCGGGCCAAGAACAGTGGCTGCCGAAGTGTGAAACGGAGATGACGACAAAATAAGACACCTGCCGAGGCATTTGGTCGCGGTTTCAGACGAAAACCCTGGCCAAAAAGGTGCAGAGATTTGCTTCCGGAACACCCTTGGAATGACCAATTTTTCGTAAGGAAGACTCGCTTCATCGCTGGCATACCTATGGTCCGAAAGGAAAGATGGTGCTTCATGCCTCTAGAGGACTTACGAGTATGGTGGTTGTATATTCGCGAGTGAAAGAAAGATCTAGATGACGTATGGACTAAGTTAAGCTCAGTGATATAGATTCAAATTCATAAATAGACGACCGCATCGCATTCAGGATCAAGTCAGGATTCTCTGTGATGACACCTGACGGAACCGTGTCGGCGTAGAACCTTCAGCTTGAGCCCTTATCTTGTGTTCGAGCCCAAGACGCAGAAAATGAGGGGACGGAGCGTCGGGAAGAGGAATATGAATGAAAGGGGGCGAAATGAAGATAAACCCGCCTTGCATATTAAGGAGGTCGACGACTTGAGATGGAGTCAAATGCCATTTCGACAGACAAAAAAATGATGCTGATCGCCCAGCCGCGAAATGTGGCGCATCGGGAACTTTAGCCTAGAATGGACGAATTGGCACATAAAATTTGAACTAGTTGGATACGGACGAAAGTAATTTCGACGGATGTTCTGCTTTTTCCCGTTATTTTATGGAGTAATTGGAGCTCTCCAGACTCGAGCTTCGGAGCGTCGAGCTGGTATTTCGCATGTGCATCGACTTGACTAGCATCGAGCTTATGAAGTCGAGGTTTCCGAACTATCTAAGTCTCGATGCAAGGGAGAAGCTCAGAACAACGCTGACCTCAGAGTCTCCAAAGGGTGAAGGGGGGTGGAGTGATCCCCACTGGTGGGTTCTCTGTCCCTGCTATTCCCGTCCGGCCGTCACTATCTCGTGATTGGACAGAACGACATTCATCGTCATTGTCTCTCTCACGTCATTGAAATACATCAGACTGAGAGAGAAAAATACGCGTCCCTGCAAACCCGCTTGCGAGAACCAAATTGATACCGAACTGGCGGCTGCTACAACTTCGCAAGCAGAAAGTTTGTCAAGCATCTTTTCATTCAGCGAAATTAAATTAAACCGGCGCCACCTGAATATCTACCTGGGGTCCATGAAGACAGAATTAATAGATCGTCAGCGGACAACCTGGAAGAACAGGTCCCAAGAAAATGTCAGTCGAATAAGTGGAATAGAAATCCACCAACCTCCTGGAGTTTCGAACGGGTTTGTCCATTTTGTGTTATAAGGACTGAGGAGCAACAAATTCACCGAAAATTTCTTCAGAAATCGGGGCTGTTATATGACGGGTCGTGCGAGGATGAGGATCAATTCATAGTCGTCGTCGTGACCGAAGGGACAATCGAATGGACCTAGCGTCGCACTCGTAATCGCAACTTGGGATTGGCCTCTGAGCCTGAGACCTAATGTAACGCTATCGGATAGTGCGGAGATTCCTCGAGGGTAAGCTGTCAACGAACAACAAAAGAGAAAACTCACATGAGCACCGTAAGCCGGGGAGATAGAGCGCTCGTTCCCTTTATTCCTGGGTGTGTGGTAAAGATCACGACCCGTAGAATGGAATGTACGACCTGGAAATGGGGTCGATGATGCTAGAACTAAGGTCTCTCGAACCTGCGAAGAATGCAGATAGGGCGCGCCACACGTCCGCCAGAGTTCGCGAGACAGCCAGTGCGTCCTGGGCACCTTCCATCGAGCGGTCACGGCGATAGATCCACTGATGGGAGTGGGGGAAGTGGGGAACAGTGAGACGAAATGACCTATTCGTGCAAGCCGATGCCACGCCCCACGTCGTCTGGCCAGTGGTCGTGCATCCTCCTGGGCTCTTCGGCAGGCCCTCGGTGACTTTACTCGTAAGTGCAGACTGCACTCCCCGTTTGTCCAGTCAAACGCAACATTTGACTTCGACACGGCGGCTATTATTGGGAGAAGGTCCGTGTCACTAGCAATGTTTGACAGCCTATGGGTGCAGCAAGCCCGTGGATAGCAGCCAGCTACGGCCTTCGCGCTTCGAAGGGAGCATCGCGAGCATCTTCGGCCGCTATGTAAGGGTACAGGTGTGGCTATTTCTCGGTGAATCACACGAGAGCTTGATCCTTGATGACGAAACGGCATCAAAAATAGCAGGAGCCGCGTTCTAGTTTGAATCGCCCAGAAATGTGAAAGCACCAAAGAAAGAGTCAGGACAGGGAATTTCCTCTCATCCAAGGGAATATGTTTGATATTCCGCGACGTATCGAGAAAGATTTTGCAGAACTGCTCTGCAGAAGAGTCGACGACGATGGGTGAAAGTGAAGCTGAGTTGTCAGGCATGACAGCGGAGCTTTTAGTAGACACTCTGAAGCGCGGGGTATGTACGAAGCGAGACAAATTATTTCCCAGAGGTGGGCACAACAAATTGGTGAATATTCCAGAGAAAAGCCCGTTGAATGAGAATTCCAGACCCGGTGTGACAGCGTTGGTCAGATGTTCGATAGGAATGACACCATAGTTTTTCAAGAATCCAGGAGGCGAGAAAATAATGAATTATTGCACGGGAGATGATAGACGGAAAAGGGCGGCGTGGAAACTGTCGACGTGCCCTAGGGACGTGCGACGATTTCGCCTGAGTTCGTTTAGTCGTAAGTGGAGTGTTCCGAGACCTATCAACTCGGCCAGGGGAAACGACAGGAGACGCGACGTTAACCCCAGAATTTACCTGACAGCGCCTACGAGCGCCGGGATGCCTGAAGTGAATATCCGAGCAGCTGTAAGAGGGTATTAACCACTGAGCAGAAAGAGACCGGCAGATCCCTGCGAACGAGAACATGGGCGGTGCTCCCAAAATACAACCGCGAAGTTGGAGAACGACATCCGACTTTACGGTTCCACGGTTCCGCGTCTGAAAGTAGCTTGGAGGCGATGGTAAATGGTCCGCAGTTCCAGGAATTACAGCAGACTTCGCAGAATTAGGCAGGCGCGTGAGGGGGATCGCTCTTCGAGAAGCGGCGAGTAGGTCTCTTCGTGATATCGGCGCTGATACGCACTATTGGCCGTACTCGACTGAACTACTGGCAGCTGCGCACCGTCGCAGGAAGTCGATAATGCCGTCTTCGACTGAGGCTGAGTATCTGTGCTTGGGTCTAGGACGAGCGTCTCGACCCAAGATGCCCGTACCCGCCGTGACAAACAGAAGTGACCTCGGATAGTCGAGCAACGAGAATACTTCGGGAACTTCCACGCGACGTAGAAGTTCCCAACATCCTCCGAGATGGTGGCGCAACCCCACAAACAAGATTTATCCCACTTAATTGACCAGCCTGGTGTTGGATCACAGCTGCCCAGGGGTGATGGTCGTGTGAGATTCGGGTGCGGGGAGAGGGAATGTTGGTGTTTGATCACTGAGCGGAGGATGAGCGGAAGAGGGCATACTTTTCTTTATTTATGGTCGGGACTTATAATGGTAGTAATTCGTCGAGGTCACGGAGGCTTTGGGGTCATGTTTTGACGGCTATAGGTGCGAAGTTCTTCTTCCGGGCCCGCTTGAGTGTCCAAATACCACTTTTAGAAGTTCACGGTGGAGAAATGGGCGGAAAGATAGGGGATGCAACGACCGATGGTTCCCCGCAATCCGCACGGCCCAAGAAAAACGTCTTCCTTTCTCTTATTCCGAGAACGACACATGAAATAGCGCACGGCGGACTTACGATGGTACATGGCTTGCTTAGGACGTGTCCCTTACGCGTTGACGCGCCGGAGGAATTTGCGAAGAGGCGCCTAAAAAGTGCCCAGACGTGCAGGCGATTGTACACTCTGATAGGTGCTCGGCCACGTGGCTCCCATCAAAAATGCCGGCAACTCACGTTACCCTGATCACTGATCGAAATGTCATCTGGAACTCGGGAAAGAGATCTGACAAACATAAATCTACATCTGACGGCGTGTGGAGAGATGCACTGATTGGGACGGACCCGACAGCCTTGATCGTTGAGTGAGGTGGACGAAAAGGAGGTTGAAGTGGGGGAAGGGCACTGGCAGAGCGGCGTAGAATCGAGGAGAGGAGAGCGGACACTGTGAGAACTCATAAAGAGGCTGTTTGTCGCGTTCAATATTGTATCTTGGATATTTATTGACTTCTTTCGCCAAATCATCCCGGAGGTCGCACCGCGGACTCAATAAGGAAGGTACAAAGAGCCCGGTTCGACGAACGAGCAATCTCATAATTATACCGCGCGAACAATAGACGGAGAGAGTAACATCGTAGGGTCGGCTCAATAATATTGGACGCTACCTTTAATGAAAGATTCCTGGTGCGCCACACAAATGAGGTTCGGTGAGTATATCTTCAAGAGATTTCCGGAAAGAGATATAAATCTCCCAACCAATTTCGAGCTCGGCGTGATTAGATTATTTCACAGAATGAGAGGGAGGATAAGTAGCCTGTGAATTAACTTCCCACTTTGGCGGCAATCGAGCGAACGCATGTGGCGAGAGGTGGCAAGGAGTTAGGACGCGCGGTTTTCTGACACCCGTTCTGGCTCGGTTCGGGGTCGACTTCGAACCCTAATCTCGCTGAAGGGGAGGCTATGTTTTCCACCGCTCCGCTTCTAAAGTGCGAAACGCAAGCTTCATGGCCCGTCACTGGATGCTTGAGGCTTTAGCTTTGACTTTTGCCTCGAGCCTCAATCTTAACTATGGCCTCACATGTTCCCCATGAGTGATGGACTAGATCTCCCAAGTTCACTATCTCAGCCCACCTCAAGCCGTACCTATATGTAGAGTAAATAACAATGCTCTACGTATCCGCTATCACCTTTTTGCATCTGTCATAAGGCGCCACGTATGTCAATCACCGTCCTTTGAAAGCAAGCCGTGACCAGTAGTGAAAGTGGAGGTGAAAGACGGCTGACAGGTCTGTTCACGTAACGCCTCGCGGACGATCACAGAACCATCCAACGGGTTCTCCCTCTTGTCGTTCTTCTCTTCGAGCCCAAGAAGGTAAGAGGGGGTGGATATTCGATAGTCCGTAACACGAGGCAGGGCCCTCATTTCCGAGCCCTTCGAACACGGATGGCGGGTGTCCACCACTCCCACATCGCATGCCCGAAAAACATGTCGATGACGTCCCGTGGTGTGATATGCCCCTTCACCTCCACGAACAGCAAAGCGTGCCTTAACGCAGGATTGGAAGCCGCGAAGCGTGATGCGGGTGGAGTGCGTTCAGAGGGTTCTCGCTGACCTACTCTATCGCGGACAGCGGGATCAGAACAAATTCGGACTCGGAGGGGAAAGGGAGGGGCGGAGATAAGTTGCCTACGGCTGTGATTTGGAAAAGGGAGCGTCCTGAGAAGGGTGGATGAGACACCTATAGTCCATGAGTAAGGGCTTGAAGGGCACGGGGGCCG